TGGTTATTGATTTAAAAAAAAAGATACCGTCTAAAATTTGATGAACATTTAGTATTTTTCGAGGCAGTTTTTTTACTGTAAAATAATTTTAATTTTAATTAAATTGTGTAGCAAGAAGTTAACACTTCAATATTAAATGTATGTACTATAAAATATAATGATTTTCGCTATTTTTGATATTCATAATTTTTTTGAAGTACAATACTGGACGATACTGAATTTTATACAATATTAAACATACCTACAATACTAAATAAATTTTTTATATTGAATTTATAGTTGAACCCCCAGTCCGCCTATGGTTAATGTCGATTTGAAATACGTTTTTTTTTTAGTTTATTTTCTCGTATGAAAATTTCGTAGATTAGTAGAATATTAAATAAACTTGAATTATACAGGGTGTAACAATAATTGGGAGTCATATTTATACAGAGGCTACCTTTGGTCTTTAGAAATACGTATCAATAGTTTATTTTTTCAAATCCCGTCGTGAGAACTTCATTTTCTTCTTAACCTTTTTTAGTAATTTTCATACCCCGCCGCTGGACAAGCTAGTGTGACCTCAAACAACGGCGCGCGTTAGAAGCAACCCATGCGCAGTTGGGAGCTGGGCTAAGCATTGTTGTCAAATCTCATAATTTAAACAAAATGTTAGATATTAAAAAGCAAATTTCTACACAACCCTTGAGTAAAAAAATGGTAACACATAATTGTTTTTAAAAACTTGAAACGATTTAAAAAATATATTTCATATCAATCAGATTTGTAGTTTTATTTATTTTAAAACATAAATTAGTTTTATTTACAATTAGTAACATAACTACATACCAGTATTGGTTAATACTTAATAAATCATCACCTTTTTTTTAATGTTCGGCACTTCGTCCACATTGACATTAAAAAATACGGTGACTTTAAAATAACACGTCCTTATCATATTAAAGCAATCTATTTTCACTAAATTATTTAACATTTTAGTTTCGCTGTTAATTAAAAATACACATATATATTTACTATTAGTAATGTATCTACGTATCAATAGTTAACATTAAATAAATCATCTATTTTTTTTTTCTAGAAGCTATAGAATTTTCATTTTAATGTTCGGCGCTTCGACCACAGTGATATCAAAAAAATATGGTGACTAAAATAACACGTCGCTGAGTTATATAAAAACAATTTGATTTACTAAATTATTTTCCATTGTAACTTCCCATAATGTAGGTTGACTTAAAAATAATTTTCAACGCTGATAGTGTACCTACTAATACGTAAATTAAAAAAAAATAAAGCGCAGTTTATAGAATTAACTCGACTATTTATTTGATTAAAGATTTAAATTAATAATTTCAGATTCGTATTCAGAGGAACACGTACCATTACCCCTAAAAAACTGATCCTTACTTAAAGCTATACCCTGTGTTGTGTGTAATTATTTTATTTATGATAGTTTTATTTATCACACACTTCAGTTATAGTTAACGTGTATCTATAATTATTATTTTTCGAATAACGAAGTGGCTTTTTTAATTAAGTTTTGACAGTTTACGTTTGTTTTTGGCTGCTTTTTTTCGGGGCTAGTTTTGCTGCATGAAAAGATTTTTTTTTTAATAAATAATCCCTTGCGCCAAAAGGATAAATTGAGTTTTGCCTAACCAGAAATTCAAGTCAATTTCAGTTTTTGAAAGCGTTAACTGTGTAATGTTTTGTAATGAGTACCTACTATATATTGAAAAATTATCTATTTTCTGATCAGGCAAAACTAAATTTATAAAATCAGCCACACACATCCTGTCTTCTGTACTTTGTAAGGCCAGAATCTTTGTTAATAAAAACTTAGTTCCCGCAAAAATAAAAAGTATCCTGCGATGCGGCTCCTGTGAGATTTGCAATACAAATTAATGTGCAAGACTGAAAACCGACGCCCCGGGGGCTCGAGCGATCGCGTGACTTGCATACTAGATTTGCCCTCTGATTAGCTGGCGCCAAGCTTCAGTCATATTCATACAAACGGCGCCAAGAAAACTCATTGGGAAATGAAAATAGAAAATTATACGTATATGTAGGTTATGCGCCACGAAGGATCAAATAATCATTCGTATATAGTTTCAGAGAAAGGACTTATACAGGATGTGTTCCTTTTTCTTTCGACAAGAAAACATTAATTTAAATGAGAAATTTTGTATTGTTCAATATTACATATTACATTCAATGCTATATCTTGGAACCGTTTACGTGGTACATTTTTGCTATAAAAAAATTGAACAAAAATCATCAAAAATATTTGGTTTTGTATTGGCCGAGTTGAAAGTTTTCTGGAATAAAATATCGAAATATATTATTTAGTAGCCACTTGTGCTAAGAAAATTGCCGCTCAACTCAAATATATGTTTCTAAGTAGACTCTAAAAGTGTGCAAATTTGAAAACTACACCTTCATGAAAATTGTAAGAGACATGTCTGCTACGATTTTATTATAATATATTGTATTTACGAAATACGCCGATTATTTTTTTTAATAGATTCTACCGTAACTTCTTTGCCTTTGAACATAGTAAAAAAAAGTAAAATATGATTTATTCCCATCCTAGCAGCAATCTGATATATACCTCCACACAGGCCTAATAATAAATTTTTCAATTGATTTGTGCAAATACATAGGAAAAACTTTTTTGCTGCAACAATTGAAAAATAGTCTCATTAGGACTTGTAAAATTTGTAAAAGTGCAATATAAAGTCGTAAACACTAAACTATGAAATATGAAAATATTAGCTGTAATTTTTTCCCTTGCTAGAACTATATTGAAAATTTAATTAAAAAAGTATTAACAGAATTTCATAGTTAAATTAAATGCATATGTGTTTAGAATTTTGACTTCAAAAGTCTACTGGCCTTCAGTGGTACCTATATGGTGTACACCAATAATAAATTAATTCCCACAAATAATTCAAATGCTACAGCTAAAATCAGTTTTAATGAAAATTAAAAAAATAGCTTGCCTAAAACTATCGTTACAGTCATGAATAAGTATAATCACATTTTACTAAATATCTTCCATATACCACTAATGAGGTATCTACATAATTAGTTTTTACAAAACGATCAGACTGAAAAATATTTCTTTATTTTACAAGATTTTTCTTGGAGAGTTCGATGAACTCATCCTACGAAAATTGTCTCGCATCCTCTTCCTCTCAGAATAGAATATCCATTGGAGTAATAAAATATAAATTGCTGTCTGCATGGAACTTAAAGGGAACATATAATAATAAAACAAAATAATAGCACTATCCTATAACAGTCCTATAATACAATAAAATTGATAGTTAATAGGAAAACTACATACGTCTAATAAACAAACAATAACTCAAATTTTCATCTATCACTTTCCTTATGTATACAGTGTGTTCATATTAGGATAGGAGTACGAGACCTAGAATTTATTATTTGTTTAGAAAGAATGTTTTCGTTTTTGCATAAGGTTATAAAATATTGGACTTTGGATTTTTAGGTGACATTCTGGTATATAAGCCATGCCTACTGAGATTATTATTTTACCATATTTTCTTATTGATAATTTGATTGTGTCAGGATTTCTAGACTTTTCTTTAAACAATTTCAAATGGTATTTTGTGGTATCTAAACGTAATTAAATTTTGTGGTAAAGTAATTTAAAAAAAACAGATTTTGCTATTTCGGAAAAAGAAATTTTTAGAAAATCAACCTAATATGAATAATAAATTCATGACCACTGCTCACCTATTTACGAGGTATGTCTTACTAATATTTAACACACCCAGAAGTAGAAAATCGCTCTATTTTACTGTAGATTACTTTGATAATCTTTTCTTTCATGATTAATATCAGGAGCATTTTGACAATTTATTAAAAAACAGAAAATATCAAACCATGAATCGTCAGTAATACTTTCATGTTTTGCTGTGTCAAATATGTTATTAGACTACGAAATACTTGCTATATTACAATATTTTTATATCCTTAATTGTATCAAATATAATAACCTCAGTGAAATATTTCACGTGAAATATCCATGTAAAACTATTACGTATTAATGTTCCCTTGGTATATCTTACCCTTCTCCGACGACATATAATTCTCCTCCTCACTGGTAGGCACATAGAATTATATATGAGAGTTTTCAAAATGTGAAAGTTAAGTGGATGTTACCGTAGTATGTGTCCCCAAGGACTATACAAAACGTAATTCGAGGATATTTATGACAGGTGGATAATGTTAAAAAATAATGTCTCCTTAAATGATAGAGGCAGTAACTGGTACGTTCTTTGTTTTTATCCTGTTGCCGGCATGTTTTGTGGGTATAATATATTTATTTTCAGATAAATTATTTAATAGCATTTAAAAAGAGGATTGTTAATTTATTTGTGCGAATATATTTTTTAACGTTACATATTCATGTCTTCTTAATATGATTACCACATATTAGTGTCCATACTTAAATGTGAATGTTCTATTATTATTTAGTAGGTAGGTACCTACATAAGTAATTTCCTCTGATTTTTCCTTAATGATTTTCTTATTATTTACTTGCTGAAAGAAAAAAGATAAAATAGGTGGTAGAAATAGGTGATATCTAACAAAAAGTTGCCAATAAATAAATATTGAATGTAAATGACTTTCGATGGTTATAATAGTTCAAGGATTACTAAAAATAAGTATTTTATTGCTGATGCTCAGAGTAATCAATCTACCTATTTAGTTCCTAAATGGCTAATATAGAAGACAATTTAATAATACTGTCATATATATTGATTTTTTTTCTTTCATTGCACATCCAGTTCAATTTTAGAATTTTATGATAAAGTTCTAAAGATGATTAACAAATGTTTTCCGTGATACAGAACAAAACATTATTATTTGTATAGGCTTTGTCTTATGTAACAGTACTGTTTAAAAAAATATATATGTATTAATATTATTTATAATTTCTAAATACTTATTAACATTAACCTTTTCATTAGTTTCAGATATAACAATATAACAAAATGTCATCTGTAAAAGTAGCTGTGAGAGTAAGGCCCTTCAACAATAGAGAACGTTCTCGGGATTGCAAATGTATAATACAAATGAGTGGAAACACTACAGGTAATTTTACATATATTTGTTTATAAATTACATTGCTTTATTATTTAATTAATTTTTGTGTAAAGGGGAATAACTTGTATCTGTTACCATAATGTATCTATTTTTATCATTCAATCTACATTTACCGTTAAAATACATAAAAAACTTCAGTAAAAGATAAGGAAAAGGGTCGTTTGATTTAAATCACATCTTTATAATTACACAGAGTGTTTTTTAAGTTTACGTCATAATTTGAGGAGACTGTTCATTGGATTATTTTAAACCAAAAATCCTTAACGAACCAAGGATATAAAGTCATTGGTTTTTTAGGATACAAGCTATGAAAATAAAAAATATATTTATAACATTTATTCCAGTACCCCTGGAAAATTGCTATGCAATGCCTACTAGCATAAAGCATTGCTTTGTGCATAGAGAAACCTACTATTCATGACTTGTTTTCGCAGGAGGCCTATAGTCCGCGGAGTAGTTGTTTCTTGTTATATCATTAGTTAATAAATACCTTTGAACATTGGACGTATATTGATGAAACATGGGCTAATGAGATAATTAATTAAAGTCAAAAATTAAGTTCCTGTACAAGTGTATCAACCAATGGTGGACATAGGTACTAGGATACATTCTCAAAGAATGTTTAATTCCTAATTGTGTTGCTATGAAAGGTCTTTCATATTATTCAAAAAATGAATCATTTTTGAGTTATTCTTCTTTAAATTTTGAAATGGTAAAATATTTCAGAAACTATTTGTTGTATAATAAAACTATATAAGAATAAAACTTTAACTAAAACAGATAATTAAACATTTCTACAACAATGATTTTTGTAGACTTTTGATTGCTTTGTATTTAAAATTGTATTTTGAACAAAAATTTCTTCAATATGTATATAGGGTGTAAATGATAAGTTTAGCCAAACTTTAATGGCGTATTCTACCAATGAAAATAATTAAGTTTTGCCCTATAAAATTTTTTTATGGGACGCTTTTCCCTACGGAGATATAGGGTGTTAAAAGTTTAAAATATTTATATTATTTTTCTTTTAATTTCACTGGCAAAAAATAACATTTTGAACATTTCTTGCGTTGTTGTGTAGTGTTTTCAAATCTCTCAAAAATATTAGGTATTGAATTTATTGTTACACATTTAGCAATCAATAGAAAATGGTAAATAGCAACGTGGGTACTTAAATATCTTCTTATTTGATTTCCCAATAATCTGAAGACCAGTAAATTTTACAAATACTTTACATGAATACTTTATTGACACAAATTGATTGTACATTTTAAAAACATTTAAAATTATTTAAAAAACCAATGGCGTACGATTATTTTTTTTTTTTTCAAAAAAAATCCCCAACTCCGCCAATAACTACGCCACTGAAGTATATTTTGGAATAAGATATCCATGAAAAAATAGTCCCCATTAAAAAAATGTCATTCTTCAAATTTTATCACTCAATCTTTTTTGCCAGTGAAGTTACAGGAAAAATAATATAAATTCTTAAAACATTTAACACCCTGTATCTCCATAGGGAAGCGTCCTATCCAAAATTTTTATAGTGCGAAACTTGATCATTTTCATCGGTAGAATACGCCAATAAAGTTGGCTAAACTTATCATTTACACCAAAATTATTATAGCGCGTTTTTCAAATAAAATACATACCTATTTTCCTAGAAAGTCTATTATAAATTAAATGTCTTATCAAATTTTTAAAATGCTCAGTAGTATCGAATATATCTTAATGGTAGTATTCTCCTGTATATTCACCACTGGTTGACAAATTAGTGAATTTTTGCCTTTAATTAGGTAAATTATACAGACCAACAAAATTTTACTTTTTTTTTGGAAGCAGAAACTTGAATATATATTTCCGAAGGAGTTAGGTGCTCTGAATCCGAATCTGGCAGCAGAATTGCTCTATCACGTCAGGTTTTTGAGATATCCTAACCTAAAAGTGCAAAAAACACTGTTTTTCGTCATATTTGAGGTTATGTAGTAATGCCATCTATTCTTTTTCAAAAAACTAATACATTGAATCTAAAAGTACAAGGCTCCCTCCTTCGAATGCCGTTGAGTTTGCTCAAATATCTTTTTTTTTTTTGTTGAGATATCACATGTTGAAATTTCTAAGTTTATCAGTTTCTTAATATGCGAAAATCTACTAAGGATCCCTTAGACGTCAAACAGTTGATTGCAGTTCAGAAACTTCATACTCAGAAACCTTCAATACATACGAACTCAAACTCACAAACTCCAAATCCACAAACCCACAAACCCCAAACCCACAATCCCTAAACCCACAAACCCCAATCCCACAAAACCCGAACCTACAAACTCCAAGCTTACAAACCCCAAGCCCACCAACTCCAAACCCACAAACCGTATGGGTATGAAGTTTCTGAATTGCAATCGACTGCTTGATGTCTAAGGGATCCTTAGTAGATTTTCGCATATTAAGAAACTGAGAAACTTAAAAATTTCAACATGTGATATCTCAACGAAAAAAAAAAAATATTTGAGCAAACTCAACGGCATTCGAAGGAGGGAGCCTTGTACTTTTAGATTCAATGTATTAGTTTTTCGAAAAACAATAGATCACATTACTACATAACCTCAAATATGACGAAAAACAGTGTTTTTTGCACTTTTAGGTTAGGATATCTCAACAACCTGACGTGATAGAGCAATTCTGCGGCCAGATTCGGATTCAGCGTACCAAAATCCTTCGGGAATGTATATTAGTGTGTTCTGCTTCTTGACCCTTGTTGACCTGTGTTATTAGCCCAATTTTCATAGATCCGCTTCATAAACATCTCCTGAGATATTTGAACAAATGTGTTTTTTTTAAACTTCAACACCCTGTGTGGGTGAGATGTTACCTACCAAGTGATCTTAGCGTTTATTAGATATCACAGTTGTAATTCAGTGCTTGTAGGGGCTTTAGTCCGCAGAGTAGTAGTTCTACAATATCATTAGTTATAAATTCCATGTATCTTTTGATAACCAGTCATTTAAACCCTTGGTTCAATAAAGCTATTTGGTCTCAGATGAATCAATGAATAATGATTTTTAACATGGATGTGAGTAAATATTATTTATCACTGACAATAAGCACTATAACTTTTAACATGTATATTTCCATGTCTTGCAGCAATCACAAACCCAAAAGCAGAACCTAACACAAAAGATGCTCAAAAAAGTTTCAACTTTGACTATTCCTATTGGTCACATGAAGTAAGTTAGCAAACGCCTATAGATATTTTGTAACTTTACACTGTTTTAGGAAGACGACCCAAATTTTTCCTCACAAATCGTAGTATATAGGGATATAGGTGAGGAAATGTTACAACATTCCTTCGACGGGTACAACGTCTGTATATTTGCTTATGGGCAAACCGGAGCCGGAAAGTCATACACCATGATGGGAAAACAAGAAGATGGACAAGAAGGGATAATCCCCCAAGTTTGCAAAGACTTATTTAACAAAATACGTAACAATAGTTCTCCAGATATTAAGTATTCGGTAGAAGTTAGTTATATGGAAATATACTGTGAAAGAGTTAGGGATCTATTGAATCCGAAAAATAAGGGTAATCTACGAGTGAGAGAACACCCGCTTTTGGGTCCGTATGTAGAAGACTTGAGTAAATTAGCAGTTACAAGTTATCAGGACATACATGACCTTATTGACGAAGGCAATAAAGCTAGAACTGTCGCAGCTACTAATATGAATGAAACCAGTTCTAGATCACATGCTGTTTTTACTATATTTTTTACACAACAAAGGTAAGCAATCTTGATGAAACAGATGAGCCTTATACATAGTTTTAAATTGTTTAGGTAGGCATTTTGTCAATATTTACAATATTTTAGGATTGACGAAGCAACACAATTATGTACGGAAAAAGTGTCTAAAATATCACTGGTAGATCTCGCAGGATCTGAGAGGGCAGATTCGACAGGAGCCAAAGGGACGAGGTTAAAAGAGGGTGCGAACATTAATAAAAGTCTTACAACTCTCGGAAAAGTTATATCTGCATTAGCCGAAATAGTAAGTATAGATCTAGACATAGAAATTTTAATTATCAATATTAACTTCATCCATTCTTCATTCCTTGCTTCCCTTGCAGTCTGTAAGTATAAATTCGGAAATGTTAAAATACCATGGCAGAGTTAACTTTGTTTTTTTATTTGTAGGCGTCTAAAAGTAAAAAATCCAAAAAAGCAGATTTCATCCCATATAGAGATTCCGTTTTAACGTGGCTTCTTAGAGAAAACCTTGGTGGAAATAGTAAAACTGCTATGATAGCAGCGATATCACCTGCAGATATTAACTACGATGAAACATTATCGACTTTGAGGTAAAAATTTCTATGCACGGAAATAAAATGTGATTAAAACTTTCTGCTACGTCCAGGTATGCTGATCGAGCTAAGCAAATTGTATGTAAAGCTATCGTCAATGAAGATGCTAATGCCAAACTCATTAGAGAACTTAAAGAAGAGATTCAGAAACTCAGGGAGTTACTTAAACAGGAAGGAATTGACGTTCATGAGGGTAAGCAGTTAGTTTTCTGTAACCTACTAAATATTTTGCAGTATATGGCGTTAATAGTTCAGTGTAAAAAACTATGTTACCTACACCTACTCAGGAACAATGTAAAATTAATACTTGTTAAAATAACTAATTATCTACAGTACGTCTACAGATTATTGCCAGGAAAGGAGAACTTTTCTTGATTTAAAAATTTGCTTGCCACTAAATATAATTTCAAAAAAGTTTTTTCTCTCTTGATGTAGTCCGTGAGCACACTAAGTATACCTACCTTTGTGTCTAAATATTTTAAATTGTTTCTGAGCAGACAGTAACTATATTGTGTAATATACCAAGTAACGTTTCTTAAAATCTGGTGGCTGATGTAATTTTAAACTTGGTTTTACCGCTACTCAGGGCCTGATGGTAAAGTTATTTATGAGAAAAAGGAGCCTCCTAGTAAGTATCTGCTTGAACAACAACAATGGCTTCTGGCACCCGTTACGTACAGCCTGAATGTCAGCCACCCTGTATCTTTGCCACAGTTCTGTGTCGATCATTGCTTTTTTTGTTTTTACGCAGGATTATCATTTTATATGGTCTTGACGAAACATAACCAAACTTATGTCATTAGTCCATCTCATTAGTAGTAAAATTAAATATTTTAATTAAAGTGTAATTTATAGAAAACCCACCTATACTTTACTCTATCCAGTTTATTGTAAAAAGTTGTTAATTAAAAGATGATGTTAAGTTTATTTAAAAATTGGGCAAAGAATTTTTTTTCATAGTATGAAAAATAAATATTGTACATAGATAAAGAAACATCACAAATGTAGACTTATCGGTGTTGGATTAGAATAGATGAACAAAAAAGATTTTAGGTAGAAGATATTGTAAAAGGTCTATTATTTCGGTGTGCTTGTTTCTCTGCATCATATAGCATGTCACGTGTACAAGCATACGTTTAAATCAAAATTAATTTATAAGAGGTCGTATAATCTATTAATATAGATTAATCATCATCTTTCTTGCCTCTATAAATCATGCAAAAAAGTTTCTGAAAGGTTTTTAAATAATTTAGGCTATTCAATTAAAATTAGCACATTTGTGTTTCATGTGCACAGAAAGTACATTTTAATGTTCATTGTACTGTATTTACATTTAACAATTTTTGGCCTATGAAACTGTTTAAGATTGAGAATTATTAAATTTCACTACTTTTATGCCACCTTTATATGTGGAACAATATGGCAATACATTTATCAATTTTTAATACAATAAATTATTCAATAGATTGGTCAATTTATTGGTCATACTTAAGGCTACCAACTTTTAGGACCAACAAACCATAAATCATATTAAACATGATCTAATATGGTGGCGGTAGTTTAACATGACTGCAGTAATAAACACCTGCTTTTACTTATTTAAATATTTAAAATAGAAAAAAGTGTCAAAATTGTAGAATGGATGCTATTAAATCAGTAATAAATATCACGAAAATTAGCCAGTAAATTAGAGTCAGTTCTATTGACTATGCCAATTTATTTAAGCTACAAAATTTGACAAAATTTATCGGTTACATGTACATGTACCAATCTAACTTGACCAATTTCTTGCTCGCTTTAGTGGGTTTAACTGGTAAATATAAAAACGGTTTAAATTAATCATTTTAATTTTTAAAATAAAAATTAACAGTAAATCGCCAATTCTTATGACTTATGTGAGATTAACGCAACTGCAATTACAAACACTTGTTTGCAACATATTCTGGGAGTAAACACAGATCTTGAAATTCTAAAACGTGACTAAATTGTTACTGTCGAATAAATATAGTCACAAAAATATGCCAAAATTGATTAATAAATTATATAACCTATTCTATCTTCTCCAATTTCTTGATCAATTTATTGATACCAAAAAATGTCTCATAATGTCAATCTTTTTTATGCAAAATGTGTTATGGGTATGGTAATTTACTCGAGATGCGTTTAGAGAGTTTTTCTTCAAACAGTGAGTAAAGTAAATTAACTAGAACGCGTTGTGGGTAAACTATATGTCGCCCACAATGCGAAATAAGTATTCAGCTGCTTTGCGCTTTACCGGGAATGCATTTTGAATAAAATAGTGAGTACAAAAAATAATAAAGCATACATTTAAAAGTAGGTATCATAGAATATATAATATATATATGTTATTATATCATAAACGAAAATACGCAAAAGAAATTTAAAAAACCAACATTATTTGTTTTTATGGGAGTTGTTTTTGAATTACATTTTATATTTAATTTTATGCAAGCATCTTGAAGAATTACGAGAACCACAATAACGTGAAAATTCACTAGCACTTGCTTACTGAGTATATCTTACCACTAGTGTCTCGTTAAAACTAATAACAAGCAGACCACTTGCAACACGTAAAACATAATAGCTAGATTGTGACGTGGGCAAAAGAAATGCTCCACAAAGCAAAACAAAAGCGAGGGAACCCTTATTTCCCATTGTGAATGGCATACCTTAACCACAACTCATTCTGGTTAATTTGCTTTACTCACTGTTCGAAGAAAAAGTCTCTAAACGCATCGTGGGCAAATTACCATACTTTTCGGGTAATGAGCGATTTTGGCTATTGCGAATAACATATATAACTTGGACAATTTCTTAATCGACTGATTGGATCAAAAATTGGGAACCGTAAAACATATTTAAGAGACCTCTAGGTCGATAAAAAAATTAAAATTTGTTAGTTTATATACTAGATGATTAATTTTTGTATCAATCAATAATAGAATTTATTAAAAAATAAATTAACATCACAACATTGGTACTGCAAAGAACAAAGTGAATTGCCAGAATATATATAAAAAAATAAATAAGTTAATAAAACTGATATTATCCAGAGCATACAGCAGGTTTAAAAAACAAAAGAACTAATACTTTTATACAAACTGAATTCCAGTGAACTTTTTTTAATGTGATAATATCTCGATATTAAGTTCATATTAAAGTAATTCATTCCCTTTGTTTGATTTTGTCCTCAAAAATTGTGAATGCAGAAGCTTAAGCTTTGTTAAGTATTATAAAATTGGCAAATCATCATTATTTCTAAATTTGTAATGTATTTCTACCTTTATCAGCTTCAAGCATTTTTTAAAATTAATAAAAGTATTCATAATTTTTTCGCTGCAGTAGATTGTTTTAAAATTGTCTATTTTTATAGGGGTGCAAGATACCAATATTGTTGCTAGAAATAATAAAGAAAACGAAAGATGTAGGACACAATCAACTACTATAGCTGAAGAGGCCGTCGATCAGCTTCAGGCTAGTGAAAAACTTATAGCAGGTACATTATTTATTACTCATTCAGTTGCAAATCAGTATATTTTTATTCCATAGAATTAAATGAAACATGGGAAGAGAAACTGAAGAAAACGGAAGCTATAAGGATTCAAAGAGAAGCCGTATTCGCCGAAATGGGAGTGGCGGTCAAAGAAGATGGAAACACTGTCGGCGTTTTTTCACCAAAGTGTACGCCCCATCTTGTTAATTTAAACGAAGACCCATTCATGTCAGAATGTTTGATATATTATATTAAGGTGAGGAAAAAATTACTACCTTTTTACTTTAAAAGTATTAACTAAATGAAATTAATTCTAAACATTTTTGTAAATTCTCATAGAATTCATAATTTGTTTTAATTTTTTATCATTTTGTGCAAAAAAATAAATGATATAAATTCTATTGACAAACAATTGCAGCTTATGATAGGTCAAACAAAATATTGAAGTTGACATTTTGTTGTGGTTAAACCAGTGTATTATTGTATTGTAGATTTAGACTCGAGTAACTAGTTGTCACCACTGGCTGTTGTTGACACTGCCATCTAAGCTGCAGAATAAGATTCTGCAAAATTACCCGTATAAATAATGAAAATTCTTAAATTTATGTCCATTAATACATATGTAGTTATTCCCACTTTAATTTAATTTGGAGTAATTCTGATAAAACATTATTTATAAATAACATATCTACAGTGTGGTCCATTAAAAAAATAAGCTTTAAGTCTTCAGTTAGCAAGAGAGAACTGACTCGATATCCCGATATAATAGTATAGAGGGTGGTCCAGATTTTAATAGACAAACTTCGGGAAACTATTAAACAACAAAAATTAACATCATATAGGCGCAGAAAGCCACCATTTATGAGATACAGGGCATTGAAATTAACAAAAATAAAACAATTTTTTTAAATATCTGGAAAACGGCTTTATCATATGTATCCAAATTTGGTACAAATTTTTTTTCAAATACTTTCCCCTAGTTTTGTATGCACATAGTCCAAATTCAAATACCAGTGGCGAAGAAACAAAGATACTGTTTTCTTATTTACAGTAAAACTTCTACGCCACTGAATTAATTGGTAATATGAATACATTTTATAATGGTCTGAAACATTCCGGATGAAAAAATATTATTTTATTTTTATCTAAAAGTGAATGGTTTACGAGTTATGAGACATATTATTCAAGTAAACAAAGCATTGAAATCGGGAAAAATAAAACAAATTTGGGTGGTCCAGAATCCAGATTTTAATAGACAAACTTCGGGAAAGTTTTAAATAACAAAAATTAACATCACTTTGCTATATGAACATAGGCGCAGAAAGCTGCCGTTTATGAGATACAGGGTCTTGAAATTAACAAAAATAAAATAATTTTTTTAAATATCTGGAAAACCGCATCATAATATGTCTCATAACTTGTAAACCATTCACTTTTCGACAAAAATAAAAGTGTTTTTTCATTCGGAATGTTTCAGACCGTTGTAAAATGTATTCATATTACCAATTAATTCAGTGGCATAAAAGTTTTACTTTAAATAAGGAAACGATATCATTGTTTCTCCACCACTGGTTTTTGAATTTGGACTGTGTGCATATAGAATATAGAACTAGGTGAAATATTTGAAAAAAAGTTTGTACCAAATTTGGATAAATTTGATGAAGCTATTTTCAAGATATTTAATAAAATTGTTTTACTTTTGTTAATTTCAACGCCCTGTATCTCACAAATGGTGGAGTTCTGCGCCTATGTTCATAGAGCAAAGTGATGTTAATGTTTATTGCCTAATATTGTCTCGAAGTTTGTGTATTAAAAATCTGGACCACCCAAATTCGTTTTATTTTCCCTATTTCAACACATTATTTAATGGGATAATATGTTGTAAACCATTCACTTTTCGACAAAAATAAAAGAATGTTTTTTCATTTGGAATATTTCAGACCGTTATAAAATGTATTCATATTACCAATTAATTCGGTGACGTAAAAGTTTTATTCTAAATAAGGAAACACTGTCCTTATTTCTCCGCCACTGGTTTTTGAATTTGGACTGTCTGCATACAGAACTAGGATAAATATTCGAAAAAAAATGTGTACCAAATTTGGATAAATTTGATGAAGCAGTTTTCCAGATATTTAAAAAAATTGTTTTATTTTTGATAATTTCAAGGCCCTGTATCTCATAAACGGTGACTGTCTGCGCCTATGTTCATAGAGCAAAGTGATGTTAATTTTTGTTGTTTAGTGTTTTCCCGAAGTTTGTCTATTAAAATCTGAACCACCCTGTATATAAGAGAAATATATCATAAACAGAGATATAGAGTGGGGAGAATGCTCTTACAACCTGCGCGAGCGGCTAATAACAATGGTCGCCATTTTGAACATCATGGTTGCCAACACAGATAAATTTTAGGGAAATTTAAATAGGAATAGGGAGAGGCAAATTTAAAATAAACCAAAAATAAAGATTCAAATTATATGAGCAAAGTTTTTTAATTTAATAGGTTTTTTTCAGAAATTGGTAAATATCTAAAAAAATTTGTATTCTGAAATATAAAGATAAACTAGTACAAACAAAATCTTATACGAGTATATGCAGAAACAACACTTTTCATTAGAATAAATAAATGACTTTCATGGTGTAATCCGAGTGACACATTGTGCTCTGTTAAACTAGGGAACAGTTCTTCTGCACAATTATAAAATTGTTGTACCACAGACGTAACAAATACAACCATAAAATCCTTTTCATGTGGCAATTTATTGTCAGTGAATATTAAAAGTCTTCTTATTGCGGTCTCCGTAGCATAACAAATCTTAACCACCCCTTCTGAAGGAATCTGTAAGCCATCTGTAAATTTCAATATTTATAATTATAAGTAATAAAAATAAAATAAATTACATTGCCTCTATTTTTTTTATCAGCCACCTATAAGTTGGATTACCAATAATTGTATCATTTGTAGACGTACAAGCAGTAAGACATTCAGGGCATCTATTTGTTTTTTTTTAACATTTTTAGAATACAACCAGAAATATATGTAACTACGTTAGTGGAAAATTCACTAAGGTCTACAAATATTGGTAATATATCATAGTCATGATCTAATGTCGCTTCCTCTGAAACATCTAAGCTATACTTCCTACATACTGAAATATCAATTTCTTCTTGTTGAGTCTTCGTGGCACTTGTGCTCGGTACTTTCAAAACTACCGTATCATCGAGTACCTTGCAGTTGCCACCTCGTCCAGCTATGTTTGAAAATAAAAGGAGTTTTCTGAAAGTTCTCATGAATTGCAAACATGATGGGTTATTATTCCAATCATTACGGGCTCTGAAAAACAGATCAGATTTTTATTATCAAAAACAACAATATGTGTATATAAATACCTCACAGAGAAAAAAAATATCTCTAAATGATCTTGACTAAATTTATATGTGAGTAAATAGTTCAATTTTTGAGTCTGCACAAAGCTATTAAAGATGCCCATTACAGATGTTGAGGAAATAACAAATCCAAGTATTGCAGTCTTTCTAGGTGTGCAATACAAAGGTCTGCCTGAAACATCTATACACTATAATAAAAATTAACACATTTCTAGCAGAAATGGTTTCCAAATTTCTTTATTGTTTTCCCTCAGAGGGGCTTTATAGCCTCTTCCATATGGACTTCTGGAATTCAGAAGGTCAAACAGGTTATCAATTTTTCTTATAAATAAAGCTGTAGCTTCTACACCCACAAAATCTGGATGCTGCAATTCTGAATGCAAAAACTCCAAAGCATCGGCAACTGTTCGGCTGAGTGTTTGCGCAGCTAAGATCACCTGTGAAATTTAAAAAATATATACTAAAGCAAATTCCTCATATGTATTGCGGTTTGTGTGTAATACCATTAACTTTTTTATCATTGAACTATTTAATTGTTAGTTAACTTCTATTTAATTATCTAATAAATAAAATTTTAAATTTTGAAAAATTAAAATTATGATGGCTCAAACTATTACATTGAAATTTTGATTAAAAATCTTTAAATATCTACTTACTTTCATTTTCTGTTTTTCCCATTCTATATGAGACTTTTTCAATTTATTGGCTAATTTTAACGTTTCCTCTTCTTGAACAGCACACAACTTCTTTATAAAGTTCCAATCTACTACTCCTTCTGGTGTTTTAATTTGACCAAAACTTGCAAAAAGGTTCCTTAACAGTTTTAGCATATGGCAAACATCTAATAGACAATAAACTTTTTTGCTAGTATCAGATGGGTGAGGAAACCATGTTTGCATACACTGTACGTCATCCAGTTTACACCCAAGGTCTTTTAACATAGAAAAATGCACTGATGGGCCATCGCAAGTTACAGATGTTATTTCTATTTCAATTTCTTCCAGTCGTATTAAAGCTTCACGTACAATGTTTGCTCTTTCTAATCCGTTTAAAGACTTTATGAAAAAGTATGCAATAGGTAATTTCCAATGAGAATTGTTGCAAACAACCATTAGCACAAGGGCTTCAGAAGCCGGTTGTAAATCATCACTGTCTATTGTCACTCCAACATCGATATAACCCCACGTTCTCTTATCGTCAAACTCTATTTGTTTTCTTATAGCCATCTCATCTAACATTAAGGAGCAGATAACATATCCATTTAGTTGTTTTGCTTCGGCTACTTTAAGTTTTAAAGCTTCAAATGATGGGTCACAAAATCCTGGGTGGCAGTCTATATTTGAGTACCATTTTCTGATAGACTGATGTGGCAGAGCTAGTGCAAATGTGCTTCGGACATATTCATATGCTTTACCTGAATAAAAATGTAGAGTACAGGCAAAGTTTCGCAACTTTTCAGGATAATTTTCCCTTGTAACAGTTCCCCGAGTTAAATTTTTTAAATATCTGCTCATTAATACATGAGGTACATCTTCATAGCATTTTTCTAAATGCTGTATAGCACTTTCGCTGAGACTCCTTTCTTGTTTTAATTGAGAAACAATTGTTTTTAAGGTTGTTATGTGCCTTTTCAGTGATTTAATGGTCTTCTTAGCAGAATATACCTTTTTTCTCACTTTGAACTGCGTCTTCTTTAATTCTGAATATTTTTTCTTGATTTTACCAGGAGATATACTGAAATAATGTAACATGTAAGTTAAGCAATATAGTCATTGGTTGGGGTGAGACAAAATACATGTCATGTGTATAACTTGCGTAACCTAATTACTGTTTTTTCTAAGACGTACCTATAATTATGTTCGGTTTGAATAAACTTTATATGCTTTCTCCTTGTGCTGCTATCAGTACTGGCAGAAGTATCTTGACTAGATGACAATTCACTAAAATAATAATAAAAATAAAATAAAAAAATAATAATGAAAAATATAATTAATAAAAATAAAAAATTAATATTTATTTAAAAATAGTATCTTCAAAAAAGTAAAATTACCAAAGGTTCCGTTTAAGCTTAGAACGCTCTGCCGTATCATTTGATGATGACATTGATGAAGAAAAAGAAACATTTTTCTGTATGGTATTTAATGTTTTCACTAAACTTGTGGATGGAGCGTCGGCTTTACTAGTTAAATGGGCCTCTAAATTTGGAACTGCATCAGGCTTTAAGCGAATTTGAGTTCCAACTTTCACGAAATCTATTGCTTTAAAGTGACATAAACAAACAAATTTATTCTCTGACCATTTAAATTCGTTATCGAGCCTCAGACTTTCTACCCATTTTATAAACAAATCACCTCTTGGAAAGTTACAAAACAATTTAAACAGGTGTTGCAAGGAATAAATACATAAAACCACTTACCGATGAAATGTAATTCCCTTTGGTTTAAAACGCCTTATGTTAAGGCACCCTCTCACAGCACACAACATAACAAAAATAATAAATAATAAACGTTTTCTTCAGTATAAAAACGATATATCGAATATTAAAAAACGTCCACAGAGCAAATTTGCCGTCCCAGGCGTAAATTATATGTTCATAAACAAATAGTAACTAATAAATAATTCACGAAACTTAACCTTATTCTCTCACCAAATTTCAAAACAAAACAAACTTCATGTTCAAAATGGCAGCGCCCATAGTGTCCCTCGAAAATAGGATGCGCAGAAGATCAATGAGCCTTCTCCCCACTCTATATCTCTGATCATAAACAAAAAAAAAAGCTTGCCATAAGTAAATTTTTACATTTAATTTCAGGAGGGATTAACTAGGATAGGTTCGGCTGAAGCTAACATTCCACAAGATATACAACTTTGTGGATCTCACATTAAATCAGAACACTGCGTTTTTGAGAACAAGGACAATCGCGTTACATTGGTGCCCCTAAATGGAGCACTGATTTACGTTAACGGTAGAGAGGTAAGAATAAATAAATTCCATGTTTATGATAATTAGAATTATTCTTCTGGTTTTTAGGTTACTGAACCTGTACCTTTAAAAACTGGTTCCAGAGTTATTCTAGGTAAAAATCACGTATTTAGATTCAATCATCCCGACGAAGCAAGAGAAATGCGGGAGAAAAATATGGCCACGTCGGAAACTGTCGACTGGAATTTTGCACAAATAGAGCTGTTGGAAAAGCAAGGGGTTGATCTCAAGGTTGAAATGGAGAAGAAATTGGTGACACTTGAAGAACAGTATCNTTCTCTTTTAAATTTTTCCTGTTTAACACTTATGCTAACAGTGTTTGTAAAAACAAACTACTCAAGAGTGATATACATGCGTGACTCATGTCTTCAGAACGAAAACTGTGTGAATCTCATGTAATTCTCGTCTGGCAGCTGTCCCGTGCCCATCTAGTCCATTTATTAGTGTGTATCAGTGTGTATCATGTCTGACTGTGTTCCTGTGGTTCGAGAAGTTTCATGATAGTCGAGGCAGCATGCACAATGGAGAGAAGATCACAAGCCAAATGAATGAAAAATCAAAACTTTGTTCTGTGCGCTGAGCCTTCTCCCCACTCTATATCTCTGATCATAAACAAAAAAAAAGCTTGCCATAAGTAAATTTTTACATTTAATTTCAGGAGGGATTAACTAGGATAGGTTCGGCTGAAGCTAACATTCCACAAGATATACAACTTTGTGGATCTCACATTAAATCAGAACACTGCGTTTTTGAGAACAAGGACAATCGCGTTACATTGGTGCCCCTAAATGGAGCACTGATTTACGTTAACGGTAGAGAGGTAAGAATAAATAAATTCCATGTTTATGATAATTAGAATTATTCTTCTGGTTTTTAGGTTACTGAACCTGTACCTTTAAAAACTGGTTCCAGAGTTATTCTAGGTAAAAATCACGTATTTAGATTCAATCATCCCGACGAAGCAAGAGAAATGCGGGAGAAAAATATGGCCACGTCGGAAACTGTCGACTGGAATTTTGCACAAATAGAGCTGTTGGAAAAGCAAGGGGTTGATCTCAAGGTTGAAATGGAGAAGAAATTGGTGACACTTGAAGAACAGTATCGCAAGGAGAAGGAAACCGCAGATCAACTTTTTGAGGAACAGAGGAAGGTAAGTATTTATAAATAAGTTTGTTGAACGCATAAGCAAGGTAGTATTTAAAAATATACTCTATTTCGTTTCACTCTTTAAAGAATTACGAAGCAAGAATTGACGCTTTGCAAAAACAAGTTGAGGAGCAGAGTATGACTATGTCAATGTACAGCTCATACACTCCAGAAGATTTCAATAATGAAGAGGATATATTTGGTAAGTGTATTATACATGACTTTTAATAACCTACTTGAAAGTTGTTTTATAACTAATTCATACATTTTTTTAGAAATTTGTGAATGATATGCTTAGAATTCTCCATCCTGTAACTTTTTTGCTTTTTTGTTTTTACATATAGTTTGTGTGTATGAAAAAGTAGATAATTATGCACTTAATTTCGTTTATCCTTGAAGGGCATCATGCAGAATTTAAATTTTGTTTGAAATAAAATAGTCACTGAAGTCAGTGTTATAATATTTGAATTATTTTTTGTAATTTTTTTTTCTTTGTAGATCATAAGTTAAGTTTTTAAACAAATGGTATATGTATATTACCATACATAATAGTATATTATTTAACGAGCGGTAATGCAGGTCATAACTCATGCAGATGAAGTTTGCAGCACGAGCCGCAGGCGAGTGCTGTAATTCATCAAGTGAGTTATGACCATTACCGCAAGTTGAATACTATACTTTATCTACGACTACATTTTCTGTAAACGAGTTAACGTTTTTATTGCTACACCAATCTTGAAAATTTTTATATACACCTTTATACTTGTTTTTTGATTTTTCTGGTAATAAATTCTGTATTGCATTATTAGCTACTTCTCTTATTTCTGGAGGTGTACATAATAACTCATCTTCGCTATCTAAATTCATCTTTTTTAGGACTATTATTAGAAATTGAGTTGAAAACGTCAAAATTATTTTGTTAAAATATCAAATGACATTTGTCCCCTCAATGATAATAATTGACAGTTCCGCCTACTGAGAGGCGTTGGCAATTTAGTAATTTTAAAATCTATTAATTATTCATTCCTTTCCATTTGTTAAAAATTCTTTCCATTTTACACCAATGGAACATATTTATCGGCTTAAAAATTTCCAAGAATTTACTGCGTACACTATTTACATACCGAACTATCATTGTAGAAGCCCAGCGTGAGTTATAATAACTCACTATAAAAACTCACGCTACTTGTTTATTGATACTATTAATTGCTCAAAAGCAGTTGAATAATTAATATATAAACTAATAGGAGTAGATAAACTATTTTACACACGATGTTGAATGCATGTTCCTGTATTATTAGTGTTCATACATTCATTTGCACATTCAAGTAAAGCAATTTTTCGTTATATGTATGACATGTAATTTGGCATCCAATTTTTGAAATTATTTATTTGAATTAGAAAGACTCAGGATGGTGAATTTCGCTCAAACACATTTAGAAACTGGAAAATCGACGTTCGCGTCACCATGCTTGTAGTACAAGATAATTTTTCCTTTTTTTGTATAAAAGTGCTGTAGTACCTACACTAGAGACAAATTGCGATGCTTTTTTCACACGAGCACCCCCCCTGTCTGGCTGGCTAGTTCTCTGCCGACTTTAGATAAAGTCAAGCGCATGGCTGCTTCAATTAGCTTTAACATTGAGATGAGCGCTTTTGCAGTGAACCCTCTGTTTGACGCAGAGTGCAACTGGACTGAGAAGCAGTTTGAGCTGGCTGCGCACGCGTGGCGGAAATGGAAGCACCATCAGTTCACATCTCTGCGAGACGACCTCTGGGGAAACGCCATCTTCCTAAAGGAGGCCAACGCCATCTCTGTAGAGCTGAAGAAAAAGGTAGCACACCACATTTATGTGCACGATTGTTGCTTATATTGCAGTGTTGTAAAATGTTTTATGTTTGATAAATTTTGATAAGACTATCTTCTAAACTGGGTGAATAAACACATGTATTTACAGGAAATAGGATTTCAAAATATGCTTATCTACTATTGTTATGTATGAAGAGAATAATTATAAGAATCATACATCAACAAGACGGGTACGGGATGATTGTTGCAAGAGTTTAGCACAAAATCCATTTTAAAATAAAAGTACAGATTTAAATGTATTCAGTGTAACAAGCGTGAGATGGACACGGAATGTATCTGCATTTTGACGAGTTTTGTTTAATTTTTACCTTGCCGTTTTCTGTATTTTTTTCTCTTTTAAATTTTTCCTGTTTAACACTTATGCTAACAGTGTTTGTAAAAACAAACTACTCAAGAGTGATATACATGCGTGACTCATGTCTTCGGAACGAAAACTGTGTGAATCTCATGTAATTCTCGTCTGGCAGCTGTCCTGTGCCCATCTAGTCCATTTATTAGTGTGTATCAGTGTGAATCATGTCTGACTGTGTTCCTGTGGTTCGAGAAGTTTCATGATAGTCGAGGCAGCATGCACAATGGAGAGAAGATCACAAGCCAAATGAATGAAAAATCAAAACTTTGTTCTGTGCGCTGAAGTTTAATTAGCAATTAATCTGCTAACATTCTGATTGTTGATTGATGATCAGACTTCAGGGCAGAGTACACAATTTCCATATTTTCATTCATTCGCCTTGTGCGGTTATGGCCCAGTCAGACGTGATGCACTTTTATCACCGTATATGGTTGTAACAGTTCATACATTTCTGTGGCTGTTTTAGCTGCTTCAAAAAGTAGCTGTACACATTTCAATGTGCATTTCCATGACAATTGTCAAAAACTCGCTTTATGCAAAACGTTATTACTTCGTGGGTCGATACATGTATATTTACAAAATTTTGTTTGGTCACTGAAAAAGATTCTCACTAAGTAGTTCCATTGACTGCACATAGATAGCGCAACGCACTTTACCACAATAAAATTAGTCTTAAATCTTAATAGCTGGACTGTATATGTACTGTAGTTTAGGGATAGCTTTTGAGCCATTTATAGGAGTCGCTATGAAACACTCTATTTTAGCAATTTTATTTCAAATCTTTAAAATTCCATAAGTATGGAGTCTACATTACTATTGACAGTTTCGCCAAATCTATCTTGTCCGTAAGTTTCACATGTGTACTGACAATCTCACCAGATTAACACCGAAGCTCGTTGTCTGTTTAAACATCATACGGTGAACATCGGTATGTATAACATTACCCTACTATTAAGGTCTTCTGTCTTTATCACTCCTTCTGCAGACTCTCTTTATGATCTGCGCATTTTGGGGACAAGATGAATTTGGTCAAGCTGTATATTTCAGTGTGTGAAACTTTCTGATATAATTATTATCGCTTGGTCAATTGCCACTTGATGAAGATTTTTTATGCAAGTATTAATGGCATTGTTTCAGGTTCAGTTCCAATTTACATTGCTCACCGATACACTCTATTCACCTCTACCACCAGACCTTAGACCTGTCATTGATTATGACCAGGATGAAGATACCACAATACCAAGAACTATCGTGGCAGTTGAAGTACAAGATATTAAAAATGGTGCAACTCATTACTGGTCATTGGATAAATTACGGTAAGGAAACAGATATCTTTTACGGTACCGTCACAATCATTTCACACAAGATAACAAATATTCTTAAAAAAATATTCAGCCCTGTTATTGTATGTATTTTATTTTTATTTTATTAACAAAATTATTTAAAATATACTTAATAATAATTATTATTATTTATTATTTTTATTAACATTTAGGTTTTTATTAACATTCATTTTATGTTATTAAATAAAAATAATAATAAAAAAAACAAAAGTTCCAACCTTATCTACTTTGTCAGTTGCGATAATTGAAATTAATTGGGCAGTATATCATTAACTCACTATTGTAGCTGTAAAAAACACTTATTTTTCTGCTTAAAAATCTGTATCTACTTGCATATCTATATTTTATGAAAATTTGTTTAATAATTTCTTTACGAATTTATTTTGCCCAAGAAAAACATCTAAATCAAAGAATTTTGCTTCTCGTATCACTTCTTTGACTATTATTTTGAAATCGTATCCATTATACCGGGTGTTTCATGAAGTTCTCCCGGCACTAATAGAGGATGTTCCTTGGGTTATTTCTAGAAAAAAAGTTTATATAAACATTTGTCCGATTTGCTTTACTTTATGAGCTATATGAATTTGAAATTTAAATGTAGAAAGTAATAATCAAATTTGTTGCGTTATGTCTCGGCTCGCTACGCATTGGTCAAGTGTGCTCTGACGACATTTGCAAGGTAAAATGTTATCTAGGTTACTGTCAGTTTTGACAAGCTTGCAGTTTAGTGTGAAGATTCAATTTTACAAATTCGCGAACAATGCCTTTTAAGTTTACGACTGCTAAGTATGCCGATATGGTGTTTGTTTTGGGTAATTGCGATGGAAATGCTACTCTAGCTTTACTGGAATATCAACGGCATTTCCCAAATCGTCGCATTCCATCCCCGAAAACGTTTACCACAACTTTTCATGCACTGAGAGAAACTGGTTCACTTCCAAGTGTTCGCATTCACTACGAACGGGTAAGTCAGCAGAGTGTTGTAGAAGAAGAGAATATCCTTGCTATGGCCGAGCGTAATCCCGGTGTTAGTACACCACGGATATCCACGCCTTTAGTGATTCCCAATACCAGGGTATGGAGAACATTAAACAAGAATCTGTTGTATCCATACCATCTACAGCGTGTTCAACATCTGGAGCCAGAAGATTTCCCTAGGCGGGTCGAATTTTGTCAGTGGTTGAATAATAATAGAAATTTGTATCGCTACATCTTATTTACAGATGAGTCACAATTTACCAGAGACGGTATCAACAACACCCATAACATGCATCAATGGTCGGACGTCATCCCTCATGCCGCCGTGGAAAGTAATTTTCAACATAAATTTAGCGCTAATGTGTGGTGTGGAATGTTATACGATCAACTTATAAGGCCATTTATTATTGAAGGTGGTCTTAATGGACCAAAGTATCTACAATTTTTAGAGGAAGAACTCCCGCGGTTGCTTGAAGATGTACCTCTGGCAAGACGATTAAGAATGTACTTGCAACATGATGGAGCTGACCCGAATTGTCACTGCTTACCTAAATGAATATTACTCTGGTCGCTGGATCGGTCGAGGTGGGCCGCACATTTGGCCAGCTAGGTCTCCAGACCTCAATCCGTTAGATTACATGTGGGGTTGAATGAAGGATTTGGATTATCAAGAGAAAGTGGAAACACGCGAAGCTCTAATCCAAAGAATTGTTAATGTTGCAACGCAAATAAAAGAAAAGCACGTGAATATTAGAAATGCAACGCGAGCAATTCACAGGCGTGCTGACAAATGTATTGAAGTAGGAGGTGGAATTTTCGAAAACCTTTTAAATTAAGAATGTATGTATCACTATTACCGATGTTCTAAAAATAAAAATGAAAATTAATTTCCATTATTTTATTTTCAAATTCGTGTAGCTCAATAAGTAAAGCAAATCGGACACATGTTTATATGAATTTTTTTCCTAGAAATAACCCAAGGAACATCCTCTATTAGTGCCGGGAGAACTTCATGAAACACCTGGTATATCCATTTTCATTTTAATCAGGGTTTACCATTTTAGTACATTATTATTTCATTACTTCTAATCATTTTTTATGCAGTACAGTAGAACCTCGATTATCCGTGATCTACGGGACTGATTGTGAGTGTGGCACGGATAATTGAAAAACACAAATAATCAAAAATTTACAAAAGAAACAGAGCAATACATAGCTAAACATGCACAAAATCATTAAAAATAAAATTTAGTATATTTATTTTAAGTACCTATAATTTTTAAGCAGTCAATCATTTTGGTCCTTATTTAACTTTTTCTGTTTTCCTTTATTTTCTGACATATTTTACATAAGTTTAAAATATCGACTTACTCAAAAATAGGCTAATAATTGCAACTTCTGCGGATTGGAAACGTCATCCACAACACATGATGTAATACGGTCTGTACTGAACAAAAACACAAAATAACGTGTCACCACAAATTCCTAGACAGCACGGATAATCCGCAGCCCGGATAATCCACACACGGACAATCGGGGTTCTATTGTATTATATTCCGTTCTTCAAATATTGGAGTAAACTATCTAATTAAATTTGGGTTGTTCCTCTACTTGAAACTTTTTTTATGAATTCTAAAAGACCTCATCCACAAAGCAGTTTATCGAAGGCGTTGAGCATAATATGTCAAAAATAGCTGTGATGGTTTTAAATTTATCGACTATGTGTTGTCATTTCTGATAGAGATTTATTTCTTTTGTGAGTAATTAGTGGAAGGAAAAAACTAGGAAAATGTATCCGATTGTTATCAGTAGGGCAATTAAAATTGTTTGGAAACTGGGCTTCAGTGGCTTAGATGGCAATTTGTTACTACAAAAACTTATCTATGCAATCTAATTTTTTTTTAAGTAGTACTTGCTTTTCCGTTTCTAAAACTGCAAAATTAAATAGGTACATAGTACACGATCTACCAGTCATCTCTGCAATGCCATCAGTCTGAATTAAATAGAATCAATTATTCTTCCAGTTAGAGATTAATTTCCTATCGTTTTGTCGAATGTATATGGCCGTTGCAATGAGTCAATAAGAATACGGCAACAAATCGATACATTATATCACTGTTGAATAATTTGCATTGTGAATGGGGCCTTAGTTTCTTTTGGTATGTAACAAATTAATTTCTTTATGTTTTGATTTTGTTTATAAAATTTGTATATAAATTTTATTCTCATATTTCAAAGCAAAACTCAAATTCTAACTTCTGCCGATTATGTCAATATAAACTATTCAAAATATAGATCACTAGATACTGCACAAGCTTGAAATCTGTAATATTACTTTATTTAAACTTATTCCTAAAATTAAAGAAAGAACGACACTGTAAGTGTGATTGAATTATAAAATGTAATATTGCAGGCTATATAATTATATGAAATATCTTAATTGTATATTTTTTGAATCATAAGTCAAAGATTGGAGATTATGCGTCTAATCTATAACGAAGAAGTGCCAGAAATTCAGAGTCCGGAAGTTGATGTAGACTCTACTCGACCTCTACTGAGATGTCTGGCTCAGTGTCCATCCTCGCCATCACGCTTCTCACTAACAAGTTTAATACCGTCGAGGTTGGTGCCACTGTATACCACCTCTTTGGTTCGTTTCATGTAAATACTTTTGCTTCCACATACTTTCTCATATTACAGATATCTACACAATGTCGTAAGTAATGTGGTATTGGTGGTATTTTGGTCCTTAATGTGATGCATAAATTTAAAAAAAGACTCAGAGAAATTTGTTTGCTATTTTTTTTTAACTTGTCATTTTTCTTACAGTGATAGATGATTCTTTTTAATTGGAAAATTGTTGTTTTTATACCATTTAACGTTTACTCCTTTAAGAAGCTTTACAAAATTAGGGATTTTAGAGTACCTTTTATTTGTGTCCCGCATTTGGCTCTAAAAAAGACGGTTGTGAGATTTTCGTTTAAACTTTATTTTCTCTGTAATATGTTTTTTGAAATCTGTTTCTAATTTATTTGTGATTTTCGTAGATGATAAATAAGACAAACTATTGAAATTAATACATTGACAACAAATGTCCTTCACTGACTGCCGTTTTGATTACAAAACGAAACACTGAATTTGGGTACTTTCTCATACAAATATTCTAGTAATTATGATTCCAAAGTTATAACAGTTTATTGTGGTACCCTCTCAATTCAGACTATCTAAAAATATGTGACCAAAATTTTTTTTCTAATTCAGTTGCCATCTAAATACAAGCTATCTATTTAAAAGTATTACTACCAAAACAGATTTTTCCGTAATTTTTTAAACATGACTAGTTAAAAAAGTTCTAAAAGAAAAAATTAAATAAATTACATTTTAAAAATATGTGCCCAAAAAAAATTAACGTACTCTTTATTGAATTAATGTGTTACATAAGGATGCATCGTACATATGTATATTGCGTTAATTGTGCATCTCCAACTTTGATTCTTTCAAACATTGTCCAAAATATTTCCATTTGCCTTTGCTGCATCACCAGCATCTTTGTCAATTTAAATTATATTCTGAAGAAACAAAATTGTACATTCATTTACAGCATTATGATAAAAATACAGCATAAAATGTTGTGCTAAATATAAACGAGAAATATAAAAATATAATTATATACAAGGTTTCATTAAAAAAATCAAATAAAAATTTAACTCGACCTTTCAAAAAATAAGCAAATTACCCCTTAACTCTCATTAATTCCCCGACGGACTATAGAGCATTCGAACGTTGAAGCAAACAGCTGATTTCCCCAGTCGTCTTGAATTTTGCAATTGATTTCAAAATCAAAGTGCAGTGGATCCTAACTTTATTAACAAAGTGCTTTAGACGAATGAATGTTTTTTTTAGCCGTACTGGCATTTCAAGTAGGTAGGTACCATACCACACTTTAAAAAGAAATAAGTCACTAGGTATACGTACTACAAACTGAATAATTATTTGAACATAATAGTAAAAACTCATATTCAATTTTAAAACATAGTGAAAATATTAACAATATTAAAAATACTAACTATACTCGGCGGCCGAAATTATAAAGAGTGACTAATACATAATATAAAAACACTATTACCATAATGCGTATAAAATATAAAATGATTTCTATACGGTTCAATATTATTTATCTTTGTGCCGCTCGCCATGCACATCGGTAGAATCTATAATCATGTACAGACTGAGTTACATTGAACGTTGATCTATATTTTATCTCTGTCTTTTGCACTTGGTAAGGAAAAAGGAAATGCTTTTTTAGTGGGTGTAAATGGACTTGATTTGCCCGACCTGAGAAACGTCATAGCATAAGCGTAGACGAGGGGTGTAATTCCATGGCTATAATAAATTTATAAATTAAAAAACACAACTGGGACGTTTTAAAATGCTGTAATAATTAAAATTGATCAAAGTTATGTTTCTTCAATATTTTATATATCTTGTTGCCTTTTACGCAGACACGCCAATAGATTTTCGTTCCCGGCACGCTTCATCCCCCTTACTAGTCCAAAAGCTAGCGATTAATCACTATCTATAATTTTTGGCCGTCGAGTATAGTGACAACCTAACATTCAAAAACAATTATTATCGTTATGGTTTATCAACAAATAAATAATGTTAATATTTAAATTGTAAAAAAATATCTTATCCATTCATGTGTCTAGATAAAAAGATCTGTTTTTTTCTTATCGCTTACTACAAATTAAAAATGCGGTTAGTGACCAAATAATAGGTCAAGATTTACTCTCGACAAACCTTTATTAAGCAGTCAAAAGGGGTTTAAATAATGATTTGAAAATTTTTTTTTTCAGCATAAATATGCATTTTCAAATTCATTTTTTCCCTATATCTTCCCTTAAAATTAGTGACATGACTAAATCACCCTTTATAATTAAAAATATAGTAGATACGATCAAAATTAAAACAACTTTTGTGTAACACTCTAAAAAAAGTTATAAGCTGTGATGTTTGTACATATATCTGGGATTATTTATTGTATTTTTAAATATGTATTCATTATTCTCCATACCTCTGACAGGGTAACTAGTAAAAGCTGATGAGTGAATAGAAGACTGTGAATTTTTGTATATCGGATGTGCCACATTGGTGATGCATTTATTGGAATCTCAAAAATTATGGTAGATAGAAAAATGTTTAAATGAGGAAAGTTTTAGACTATTCTACTGTTATATTAATGGTGCTGTCAAACCAGCTTTAGAATGTAAATTTTTTATTTTTACAGTTTTTGAAATCTGGTATAATTATAGAAACTTTTTGCAAAGGATTTCATTGGAACTCAGATTTTGTTTCTATGTTTTGGTTCCAAGAATCCATCATCTGTGTTAGATTTATTTTTCTTATGGGTGCTATATTGAACTGAATGTTGAATAAAGAGTTAAATAAATAGATTTTCATTATAAGGGCAGAAAGTTTCGGTAATGTGCCAAAAATAAGGAAAACAAAGTAAATGAAATGTTCAAATAAGAATTTGAATCTGCAGTGAAATATTTCAAATATTTGCTATAAGATTTTGCTATTGCTATAATTATTATTGTAACAATTTTATTGATAGAATTACGGTCATCATCAGAACGGCTAAATGGGTATACATTTTAAGTCGTCCTACACTATTGCCCAGGAGATATAATTAAATGAACTGCGGAATGTTGGGTAGCTTAACTAATATTCAAAATATATTTCGGAATGCACATAAATGAAATTAAAATCCAGTGCCATATTACTTCACATTTGAAAGCTAATTTACTTGACAAAAGAAAAGCTGATTTAAATTAATTATTAATTTAACAAATGCAAAATTTATGTGGTCCTATTGGAAATATTGAAACGACAAAGTTTAATTGTTCATTATTCAAGTAATAAAATTTTCCTTAATTTATCTTTCTATTTAGTTTTATACTAAAATATTTTCGAAGATTCTCATGTACTTTTTATTTTTTCAATCTTCAAGTAACCAAGCTTAATAGTTTAATATTTGTACATAGTTTCATTGTAAACATAATTATGAGTAAGTAAATTAGCTGGATTATCTTCCACTTGCTTTTTACTGTGAAGCCTCGTTTTTAATTTTTTCCTTAATTTCAAGCTTCTTTCTTCTCATGGTGGCACCAACCTAATATTTCTGTTTATTATTTTGTAAACAATACTCCTTTGTATATAAACACACCACACTAGACTAGTTACAGACACCTTTAAAACCACATAATTTCAGGCAACGCTTAGAATTGATGCGTGAGATGTACCACAATGAAGCGGAAATGTCACCCACCTCGCCCGATTACAATGTCGAATCACTGACAGGGGGAGACCCATTTTACGATAGGTTTCCCTGGTTTAGGATGGTAGGCAGAGGTTTCGTTTACCTGAGCAATTTACTTTATCCCATTACATTAATACATAAAGTGGCAATTGTTAGTGAAAAAGGAGACGTTAGAGGTTACTTGAAGGTAGCCGTTCAGGCTGTAATGGATGAAGACAACTCTGATCAGGTCGGAGTTCGCCAAAGTGCCAGGATAGCATTTGAATCAACACCTAAAGGTAAATGTATGAAATGGTAGTATAATATGCGATATACGTTGCTATAACATTCTGTTTCTCTAGCTATTATTGAAAGAAATATTCATAACATTGAAGATAGGATAATTGAGGGTCATAACAATATCGATCCTATTAAACTTGATGAACTTATAGAGTGTGATGCTGATTCAGGGCGTGGAGACAGTTCCGTTTCTTCTGATCTAAAAGAGGAGGACATACCCGATCATCTTGCTATAGGAAGAGAATTCACATTCAGGGTCACAGTTTTACAGGCTGTTGGAATTTCTACAGAATATGCTGATATTTTCTGTCAGTTTAAGTAAGAAATAGTCACTATTTTGCACCTTTTGCAATATACAGGGTATTAAGTATGTCCGTAACCTTTTGGGGGTGATTGCGTGATTTTAAATTAAAAAAGTTATATAAACCCAGGCAAGTCAATAATTAAGATACAGGGTGTTGAAATTAAAAAAAAATAATGTATTCCAAAATATTTCTAAAGATATAGAACCACTCGTTTCCCGAAAAAAATTCATATTACAATTTTAAATATATCAAATAATACAATATAATGAAAAATTCGAGAAACCATGCATTTTTTTCCTCACAATATCATCTGCTATACCTCTAACAAAATGAAAAATTTTATTCCATTGATTTTTTCGCATCGTTTGTTTTTAAAAAATCCCACGAACTTCTTTTTAAGAAAGTGTAGTCCTATTAATTTTACATTTTGTGTAGTGTTTGGAAACATTAATGAAAATTTATGAAAATAAATAAATTGAAAATGGTTAATTTTTCAAATAAAATGGAAGATATCTTATTTTTTGGAAATACCACAAGGAAGTGATTAAAAATATCCAGTGATGTTGAATATCTGGCATTTTCAGTGAGAGTCTCCCGGTGTCTCCGCCACAAGCATAGAAATTCAGTAGATCTTTAATTAGATAAAATAACCCGGAACTATCCTTATGGAAAATTGTCCTCAATGTGTCGATCAAAAAAGTCCATGGGACCTAGGTCTGAAAAACTAATGTTCTGAAGCTACAGCCTTCTGAGGTTATCGAATTCACGTGCTCGATGACCATCCAAGTTTTCTTAAGGTGCGTCAGCTATTTTCTGAAGATTGAGGAATGCTGTAGATATGCTGTTGACGGATCAGCATGCGTAAAAACATAAGATGTCTCTCAAGCAGTATGTGTCGCTATCGGTGTTCTTTAGTAGGTGCTTCACCGATTTTCTGAAGACTGAAGGATGATACAGCTATTTTCACCACGGATTCGCATTCAACACACGAAAATACATCAAGAAACAGCCAGCTTGGTCGCTTTATAAAGAAATATTTTCTTTTACACGCCTGTAAATCATTGAACTTGATGTTCATCGAGCACATGGATTTGATAACTTCAGAAGGCTGTAGCTTCAAAACAGTAGTTTTTCAGACCTAGGTCCCATGGACTTTTTTAATCGCTACAGTGAGGACTATCATTCGGCAAAGTTTCGTACCATTCGACCAGGACCGGTTTTCCATAAAGATAGTTGCGGGGTCCTTTACTTATTCTGCATCAAATATTTTCAGAGATAGCTTTAAAAAGGTGATTTTTTTGTATAAATTTCAACACCCTAATGTGTGACCCATGTGTATATATATAACCCGTTTAGTATAAGGTCGCTCAAAGAACATTAACATCCTGTATATCTAGATGTTTTTCAGTTAACAGAAGTTGCAGAAGCAATTTATAACATTTCAACTATTGATTATTATTTTAGTTTCCTTCATCGACATGACGAAGCATTTTCCACTGAACCTGTGAAAAATACAGGAAAAGGAACACCTCTTGGTTTCTACCACGTGCAAAATGTAAGTCTTTTTTACTATTTCTTAATATCTTACTTGTAATGTTTGGCATTTTTCAAAACTGTTTCAGGTATTCCTAATGATCTGTTTTAATTAAAAAATAAGCTCATATTCATATTTGCTATCCCAATACACTCCGTATATTTTAGTACTTTGTAAATGACTTATCAACAACATATTATTTTTCAGATAACTGTGTCTATCACAAAATCGTTTATAGAATACATAAAAACCCAACCCATAGTTTTCGAGGTATTCGGCCACTACCAACAGCACCCGCTTCACAAAGATGCCAAGTTAGAGGGCAGCGTGCGACAGCCGCCTCGTCGAATGCTCCCTCCATCCATACCGATTTCCCAGCCAGTGAGGTCAAGTAAATTTGGCGCCCTACCGTCCCCATGCACCGCTCACATTCACGCCAAAGTAGATGTTTTGGTTTGGTTTGAAATTTGCGAATTAGCTCCTAATGGCGAGTACGTACCCGTTGTTGTTGAACACAGCGACGACCTCCCTTGTAGGGGACTGTTTTTACTACACCAAGTACGTATTTGCGTTAGTTTCAATTCAACCTAACTTCATTTGCAAATTGTTTTATAGGGTATCCAGCGTCGAATAAGAATTACGATAGTTCACGATCAAGCAGCTGAAATTAAATGGAAGGATATAAGGGAGTTAGTAGTGGGAAGAATAAGGAATAGTCCAGAGTCAGAAGAAGACGAAGATAACGACAATTCAGTATTATCCTTAGGGCTGTTCCCTGGCGAATATGTAGAGACAGCTGGTGATGACAGGGTTATGTTTAGGTTCGAAGCTGCTTGGGATAGCTCTTTACACAATTCTCCCTTATTAAATAGAGTAACATCTCAAGGGGAACAGATTTTCATGACTATATCAGCATATTTGGAGGTATATTTTCTTCAATATTCTTTTTCAAATAAAAAATATACTAAATCTATATATTTTGGAATTCTAGTTGGAGAACTGTGGACGTCCAGCCATAATAACTAAAGATTTAAGCATGGTGATATACGGAAGAGATGCCAGAACAGGTCCCCGATCCTTGAAACATTTATTCTCCGGAAGCTATCGCAACGCAGAGGCAAATCGCTTGTCGGGAGTCTATGAACTGCTGTTACGACGTGCTAGTGAAGCAGGTAGTCCAGGTAGATCCCCTTTAGTCTCCTCTTCCCAGCCTCTTATATGTTATATATCCTAAAAACCTCTGTTATTTAGAATTTTTCGTTCTGTTGTTTGCTTGTCTATTTCTCAATGACCAAAACAGATTTTACTACACGTTTAAGTTACTGACAGAAGATGTCATTGTCATTCCGAACCCCACGTGATTGTGAAAATTACGCAAACTTAAATTAGTGGCAAATATTAACACAAAAATGATGGTAATGATGTCAGTGGAGTGCATATATATTTTTTTTTGTGCAGAATGCAATAAGGTTGTTTCTTTAGTTAAAATTCTAAAAAATGTTATATAGATAATAAATAACATAATTACTTTTTCTGTTTCAATAGAATTTGTTAAAATAGTATTAAAGTACGTTAATGATGATATTTTGTCACACGCAAAACTAGAAATTTTCGTTAAATAGAGAGACAGTTCTCTATGCAGTGGTTCCCAAAATGTTTAAAAGTTCGTACACCATCAAAAAAAAAATTGTGATAAATAAGTAAAACTTGTTTTTCGAAAACTAATTTCTTAAGTCTACAGTTCATTCTTCAAAGGACCCCGCAACTACCCTTAAGGAAAACCAGTCCCAGTCGAATGATACGAAACTTTGCCGAATAATAGTCCTCAATGCTTCGATCAAAAAAGTCCATGGGACCTAGGTCCAGTGATTTTTCATTTGTCCTCTATCGAATAGCATAATCAATTTTTATATGTAACGTTTCCTCTCTCCAGAACCATCATCAAGTTCATTTTTTTAATATGACCCTGGAAATTTTATTACCAATTTTTGCAAGCCATCAAGACCCCCAATACTGTACTGCCTCAGTTCGAATCAGATTCAGACGTTTTGTTTCTAAAAATTCATCTTCAATGTATTTGTTCCAGATTTATCTATTTTTTTAAGATTTCTATGTTTCTTAAATTATCGTACACTCTAAGTGTCGTTACACCCTGTGAAAGCCATCTAGTTATTTAAACTATTACCACTACTATTACTTGTTTAGGTGAAAAGCTGAAGCATAACTCCCTACTCTAAAGTCAGCTGATTGCGTTTTTTCGTTTGTTTATAACATAATCAACTTGTCGACAAAGTCTCAGCTTTTGCGGTATTAATTTTTTTTAATGATTATTTTACGTGTGTGGCATGCTGCCGCAACTACACCTCCCGCCGGAGGTGCGCGAGTTGAAGGTCGATTCACTTACTAGTGATATCAAACGAAGCGTAGGAAAACTTTTCAGCTTTTGCTCTTTTGGTCATCAAAAAAGTTCGCTGCCTTCTGGGCTACAAACTGTGTCATAGACTGACAAACTCAAGTTTTAAGTGTATGTTATTTATTACTTTTAAATTCAGAATTTGATAAATAACAGTTTGAAATTATTACAAAACAGAAATGATAAAGAAACATTTGAGAGCTCACGTCCGACGGAATAATCAATGTCTCAGAACAGTCTAGCTGCTAGTCAATAAGGTTATAGGGATGTTTTGGTATATATCTGCATTGTAGAACTGTCCTAAGTATCACTTTATATTAGTGCAACTCAGAAATTATCAATAACCCAGCATATCACATAAATTTTTAATTAAAAAACATATCAACTGAAAAATCAAATATTTCTTAGAGAATACAAAAATATTTGCATGTTTTAATTAAATAATTCAGGCAGACATTTTATGTAAAATTTAATTTCATTTTAGTGGTGGAATTTTTCCTTACAAATTCAACAAAACACAGTGTACACTAAAAGTTTGCATGATATATGTCTTTTTTCAATATTGCATGTAGTGAATAAATGTTTTTTTAAAATTAAGGAATTACAAAATATAAAAAATACTGCGCTTACATGAAGTGGGCCAACTTTATTACAAGGTCTTTGAAGATAATGGCAAGTAATTTTGTAAAGAAAATTTCTTATAAATGCAGAGGAAGCCCGAACGTGGATAAGCATACTTAATGGATACCTTCCTTGGATAAAGCGAATTAGATCACGTTACTTTAGTAAAATATTGTTTTCTTAAAAAGTTATAATATATAGTTCTTTTAGTCAATTCAATGAAATTTGATATAGAAAGGTTTTTAAGGTAGCTTTATTAAGCCAAGTCAACCAATGTACACACAAACTTTGCCAATTACTTAATAGTTCAACTTTTACTTCCTCCGTTTCTTAATATTTTATCATTGGTTTTCTCCACAGGAGTTGTCGTATAAAACACAGTTCTTATGCATCTTGCTGAAAAATTTTCTACATCAATGTTCATACCAATAGGATCGCCTATCCTGGGATCCTACTCACTGCGAAGTATTATCAGATATGTTGATCGTCTGCATAAACAATATAATACATACTCTACTCTCTCTGAACTGAATATGTTCCATCGTGTAAGGTTCATTTTCACTGACAAAATATTTATCTAATGACTTTCTGTCTTCATTCCTAAGTGCTCTCATTCCTTCTTAACAGTCATCAACTTAGTCCCCTAAATTGTTATACAGCATGTAATTATTTTATTATTTTGTCGGCTAATAAAACATCACATATACCTTGGAAAATATGGAAATACTGTCTTGTTTTTTAATAAAATAATTAACTGCCAACTGTCATCTCCATCCTCGTTTAAAAGTAATTTCAATAATTACATATTTTCTCTTTTGCAAAAAACTATGTTTATAAGAAATTTTCCTCTCAGAATTGCTTTTTCTGTCACCTTTTAAGGTTTATTATAAAGTTGAACCTCACTTACAGACTATGCTATATTTTTTGTTTTCTTCTAGGTGTGCAAAGGAGACAACGACGTGTATTAGACACAAGTTCCACCTATGTTCGTGGAGAAGAAAACTTACATGGCTGGAGGCCAAGGGGAGATTCCCTCATATTCGACCATCAATGGGAGTTAGAAAAATTGACACGTTTGGAAGAAGTTGAAAGGGTTCGACACACGTTATTACTAAGAGAAAGGCTGGGTCTGGACAGAGCCCTGAACTACAATAAATATCACTTAGAATATACCAAAAGCGAAAAGGAAGTTTGTAATATGGTTGCCAAAAATAATAATATTAACGTTGCAGGTGAGTAATTGTAAAAATAAGTACAATATAGACTCGATTATCCGGACCTCGATGATCCCAATCCCCCATTTCTAAGAGCATTGTTATAGAGCAAATGATTGCTCGTTTACAGAAGAAAAAGATTGTGGAAATTCTTCCTATTAAAAAAAGTTTTTAATTGCATTGATTTTATGCAAAGAACTGAATAAAATACCTCTTTTAACAGATAAGTAAGTTGTTGAGATTTAGTATATTATAGTTTATCTTATATAATAAGTTTTTTCTCAAAACTCGAACCCGAGACATCTGAACTACTTTTTGTCTATCTCTTCGGGAAAGATGAGAAGTAATTCCCCAAAATTGTTGCAATTGTTTATAAACTTTACGTAAAAAAGTATCGTGTAAATCAATGGTTATTTTCAATTCATACGAAAGAACGAGTACTTGCTGTCTCTTTTAAAGTAATTTTTTCATTTTTTCAGCAAATAACGACACATATGAATACAGTGAACGGGAGAAGGAGCTACTCAAGAAATGCGTACGTCTGATACAAGGTAGGCATCGGGATAGCTCAAATAATATCAAAGATAATGACGTGGCCAGTCCTTCCGACGAAATTACCGAAATGAGTACAAGCATGATTTCGAGTGTAATGTCTAACGGTTCCATTGAACTGTGCTCTCCAGAACGGGCCGCTTTACCCGGAGAATGTGCACCCTTCCCTCCTGTTCCAGCTTCGCCCCCAGGACCAAGAGATCCAGAACTTGTATTATATGTACCGGATATGGAAGAGATTAGAATTTCACCAGTTGTAGCAAGGAAAGGCTATCTCAATGTATTGGAACATAAGACACATGGATGGAAAAAGAGATGGGTGGTAAGTTTTTCTGTTTTTGTATAATTTTTGCATTTCCATATAAATATTTTCTCAACGTAACTAAAAATGGCTCTTGGATTTCATTCTTATTTTGAGTTAAATTCTTATTTTAATGGAATAATTTCCTTCAACTTTAAAGGAAAAAGATGCACTTCATAAAAGTACATATTAACAATGACAAATGCATAATTTATGAGATCTTAGGGTGTCGATTGCAATGCCCACTGGGCAGTGACGTATTAGTATTTATTGTATTTATTACTTTTATTGGCATATTATAATAATTTAAGCAACATATTGCCTCTTTTTGAGGCCCACTTTTTTAAATCTGAGGGCATGGACTGCACTGCCCCCTGGCCACGAACAGCTTAACTTCCCTTAAAACTGTGGGCGATGTCAATAAATAAATGGACCCTCTTGTCTTGTATATTTAATGCTGAAATTGCAAACAATTATTTTATCCCATCAGTATAACAAAAAAAAATTAGTGATTTTCCTAATATAACCACAAACACTTAAAATGAAATATTAAAGTAAGAAACAAACTACCAATTAATTTAACTAATTTTCTTTGCAATCGAAGGAAACTACCCCATTCTTTTAGATTCTACCTCTTATATTTTTTATTTGTCAATACTTAAAAATAAAAAAGCAGCTCATTACAGGATAACCAAAAATATATACATTTTAACCATACATTTAATACATCGAGAGCGACAACTATATTGTCTAATAGTTCTTCTTTATTTGCAATGTTTGTAAAAACATGTTATCTCCAGATGAATCTATTATGATAGCAAGTGCTGCTTATATTATATTTATACATAAGGGTAGATCATAAGCGTCCACAAAGATTTTGTGAAAAATATATATTTTTCGGATCCCGCAAAATTGGGGTATTTTTGTACGCCTCGATTGAATGTAAGCACTTTTCTTCACTCCATTCCATGATCGCACCCAAACTTTACAGAATAAATATCGCAACACTGACTGATACAGTGACACATGCTAACTTGTGCTCCTACTACGAACTGTCCACACTATTAGACTGCTCCTCTTTGTTTCATAACATTTACTGACAATGGGATGGCCAAAATGTATCGTTGCCTGTTTGCAAACACGAAACACAAGACATACACACTGTAAAGTTATGGTACAATACATGATACAAATACAGTTACGGAGCGCTTATGAGTACCCGGCTTTTGCTATGCAGGCTAGCAAAAAAGTTCAAGATAGTGAATCATTCCATAAAACATCATATGTTATTTACACCAGAACCGTTTTAAGATTGCCATTACCTCACGAGTGTGTCCTAATATCAAAAACAGTCGTTATGGACTTGAATTCATTATTTGTTAAATGCGCTAAAATGAGATACAATAATGGTATAAATGTCTTCATAGTCTCATAATTTATCACAGACAATCGTTCCAATATTTTATGTGTATTAGAGTGAAAGAAAATGGAGGATGTATTGGGTATTAGTTATAAACTGTAGTTTGACTAGCGTATTTAAAACAAAATAGGGCTGATACTCAGATTAAAAATTTGACAGTTGTTTTGATCGCGTCTCTGTACCAACTGTTCTATATATTTTCTGAGCGTTGAAATATCGATTTTTTGGCATATTTTCGTATCCAGTAAATACCAGTATTAAAATTTGCAAGGTATCTAGATTGTCAAGATGACATTTCAATTATATGAAAGTAGTGACTAATTTGACTAGGATTTTTCGTCTTCGTTCATATGAATATTGCTTGTAACCCAATGGAAAACATACAGCAGTTTTCGTGTAATTATTTTTTAATCTGTAGGCAGTTCATTAACATTATTTTAATAGGTATAAAATACATGCCAAAAATGTAAGTGTTGAAAATATTTATTAGACAAGTCATTTCTTTTAACGAGTTAAATATGTGGTTGAAATGTTGGCACATATTTCTGTCCTGTATAGAACAAATAGTGTTTATCTTAATTCTCACATTAATCACAGTCAATGCCACCAAATATAAAGACATGCATTGTGTGTCAAACAGGAAACTTCTTACTTAAACTGAATCCTAAAGGCCTATAAACACCAAAATTTGTTGGAAAACTACGTCAGTTTTACTTTTACTTACTTTACTTTTTTAATTGCAGGTCACATTTTTTAAAATATTTTTGAAGGGTTTAAATAACGTTAAAATGAAAAAAAAAAAAAAACCACTTTGTTAAATTACTGTAATAAATTTTCTGACATTGGTAAAAAATTTTTAAGTTATCCCGTTGATCATTTAATAATTTACAGAGCCTTCATAAATTACAAACCACGTGACCGCTGAGTTTAGGCAACCCAACACTGCACGATTGGTACTGATAAGGAAAACTCTCTAAATCTTGGATTCAATTAATGACTCGTTTACATTGAACAATGACAATCCATTACGGGATAATGTGATCGCTGATTGATTGAATAGAATGTCGTGAAAAATTGCACCAATCACAGCCGAAGAAACAGAATGTTCTATTTTAATGTAATCTTGATCTTATTGTTTTAATTTTGCCGAAATTTAATTGCCAACATTATTGGTCACGTGGCTTGTAATTATTTATGAAGGCTCTATATGTGTAAACACATAATATTCTACTACTTTGTACATATATCTCGGTGTATCAACAGTAAATTTCAAAATTTTCTCTTTGCTTTAGGCCGTACGTCGACCATATGTATTTATATTTAGAGATGAAAAGGATCCCGTTGAGAGAGCCCTAATTAACTTAGCGACCGCTCAAGTAGAATATTCAGAAGATCAGCTGGCGATGGTCCGCCTACCAAACACATTCAGCGTAGTAAGCAAACATAGAGGCTACCTGCTTCAAACCCTTCACGAAAAGGAAGTTCACGACTGGTTATACGCCATCAATCCTCTTCTCGCTGGTCAGATTAGGTCCAAGTCGGCAAGACGCAACCCACAAAATGCAAATGAGACCAAAGAGGTCGTGGTAAACGTAAAGTGAGATTTAATCACTATGGAATCCGTACTGGTTTATTAGTAGCTTTAATGTGTATTGTATGTTCCAGAAGTTGTGATTTTTATTTATATGTATCCAGTTTTTATATAATTCGTTTAAGAACGAGTATGTGAATCAGGTACCCGTTTTTTGAGCCGGAGATGGAGATCTCAGTTATCTTTAGTGATACAAGGCCAGTCAGATTAGGGTAAAGTCGTGAAATTTAGTAACAATTAACATGCCAAAAAAAAATTTCCCTCTTTTCTTCATTTTGAAATTGTCGATGAAGTTAAAATTTTGATTTTTGTTTCAGATTTGTTAGTCAAGGACCTAGTTTTATATTCAGGCTTTCTTGTGTTTCACTCGTGTCGCCTAGTAAGAAAGGAATTACAATCAAACTTTTGTTTTTCTAATGAATGGTATATTGGATTTTTGGATTATTGAATTTGGCACATTTTTAACAATTTTTCCATTTTTACAAAGATTGCTTTGAAAACAAAACAACCATCTATTGATACAAAAAAACTTGACATAGGTTAAATTTTATCGTGCGCAGTGTCAGAGTTCGAAGAAGTAAAAATGCAATCTTCACAAGAAGAAGGATGAAATAGGCTTTAAATTTATTATTTTAATTTGAAGAATATATGGCTTAGTTTCATGAAAAAATTGATTTTTATCACTCTACACTGAAATGTCAATAAAAAGTCAATCGAACTGTCAAAATTTCGTTTGGAGTAACATTTGATGTTATGATTCCAAAACATTCTGCGTAAAAATTTATATCTCGGTATTTAGGCAAAAACAAAAGTGTAAACCGTGTCATAAGACACATCACCGTAACCAGAAAAACTAGTTGAATTAAAAAGTGAGTGAGTCTGTAAGAATAACAAACATTCCTCCACCTTGATAAATCTACAGCTAATAATAATAAAAAATTTGCCCTGATAAATGTTTGATTAAAAAAAAATTAAAACGGAAATCAAATGTTGAGTTTTTCGTCCATAACTTCAAAATGAAAAAGATAGATTATTAAATCTTTGTTTGGCATTTTATTTGTCATCAAATTCTGCAACATTGCCCTAATTTGACCGATCTTGTACTTCTTGAAATAACCAAAAACCCCACGCTGCGGCTCGGGAAACGGGCACCCAGTTTGTACCATCTAAAAACAAATACTTTTAATTATATAAAAGTCACTATATATAAATCGTCACAACTTTGCTGACATTAATATAGTCTATATTATATTTTCCCAAAAAAAAACTAATTTGAAAAGTTTCTTGGAGACATTGAAGGTTGTGATTTCTTTTACAAGTTAAACTTTAATTTCACGGGTTCCATACATTCTTATAAAAGATTATTTAATACGATTTTATTCTAGTCATCTAATTTATTTCATAAAAATTTTTTACACTGTATAATGTCTGAATGTGAATTTCAGTGATCAAATGGATAGAGTTTAAGGTGAAATAAAATATATAGTAGAATTTATTTAAAGAGGAATTGTATCGCGGTAAGAAAAAGATATATAACTTTGTTAAATACGAATCTCAAATGATGTTTTAATGTTTATACCTAATTTTTGGATTGATCTCAATGTTTTCAAAAGAAGTTAAGAAAGCTTACTCTAAAATCTAAATATAATGAGAATACATACATGTACCAATCTAAAATCTTCACCTTTATATTAAAAGAAACTTCTAACGTTAAGGCCTCATTTTTTTTAGTGCAATATTCAGTATTGTAATTGTTAATGTAAAATAAACACCAAATTTTCCTTACGTTTGGGCACAGTAAATGTATAATGTACAGGGTGTTTACTTTTTCATTTACATTGTCAATATATTTTAAGGTTTCTAGTTTTCCCAGCCATGATTCTATACATAACACATTTTTAATATAACTTTATACACTGTGTCCCACATGAGGATGTCAATTACGAACGGTGAAAAATACAGGATAGCTCAAATTAAAAATTAAGTTACAGTATTGGGGAACCACTGAAACGGTGTAAATTTAAGGCCGCTGCACAGTTAACGGTAAGCTGAAATCAATATGCAATTAAGGTGAATACTAGAAAGTCAGCATTCGCCCACTTAATATCTTTCACTTGTGACTGTCAACGCTGGACGGTGTACTCCCCACTGGCCGGTAAATATAACATTTTTTGGCACACCGTGTACATTACTTCCTTAAATACCTTGTATGTAAAACTTTGATAATAACATTTTCCAAAAAAAAGTCCGACCTGCCCGCGATTAAAAATACGAACCTTCAGCTTCACAGTAGGGAGCATACAAACTGCGCTATGGAGGCCTATCGGTGGGTGGAACCTGTACAAGCTATTTGAAGTTTTGGGTCTCCACAGGTGTAAACACAAAATTTAAAATGTTCGAATTAAGTTTTAACATTATAATATTGTCTAGACCAGAACCGGTGTCTAACGACAAAATAACAACCCACCGCGATCCAAACGACCTGACATTCAGTCGGTTTTTGAATTTTCAACGATGGACGATCCCGTTGGGTTTCATCTAACTTGCCGCTTTTAATAAGAATTTCTAGAGTAAATAGGGATAATTTTTATTATCTGATAGTATCTTCATCGTTGCTGTTATTTGAAAAAATAATGTAAGCGTAAAAAGTACACAGTACAGTACAGTACACAGTACACAGCATGACAGTTATTTACGACATAAATAAATATTTTATTTGACTCGTATATTTTGACAACGATGATCTGATCTCTTTTATCAACATCAAATTAGATGCTCTTCCACTTAATGGAAGCAAACAAAAAATCAAGTCTTGGTCAGCTTTTTATTGCTGGGGCCAGTTTTGTTCCATTTTATAACACAAATACAGAGTTAACCACTAAAATTTGTTTGGGATGTACAATCTGACTTAGTTATTTTATTTTAAATTTTAAACAAAAGATATATGAACTTGGGTCTTAGTTTACCTCGTTTTTGAGACACAGGATGTTAAAATTAGAAAAATATGTCACATTTATCATTTATCTAAGTACGCATAAAAACCTGCTAAGTTGATTCACAATTATGTTAACCAGTGATGGAGATACCAGAGGTCAGTACCATTAGAAGTCTTAGAACTTATGCGCCAATGAATATTCTGCAAATCCGATTAGTGTTTTGTCTTGCATTTTCGAAGAACAACCCATTTTAGTGTGTTATTTTTTTATATATTAAAGTGAGTTAAAAAACACAGTTAAGTAAACCGAAAATAATTGTAACACTATTCATTTCACAGAAAGTTTTATGGGATTTTTTGGTTAGAAATACAAGTTGAAATACGTGTCGAAAATAAAAAAAATATTGCTGTAAAATTTTTTAATTAACTACGGGGGCAGTTCCTAAAAATGTTCATGCGAGAGATTTTTTGAACTTTTGACACACTACGTTGTTTTAAAATTGTATTTCTAATAAAAAATTCCCTAAACAATTTTAGTGGAATAAATAGTTTTAGAGTTATTTTTTATTTACTTAACTGTGCTGGTTCACACCTTTTAATAGAAAAAAATTAGTTCTCTAGAATTGCATTGATAATAAAAAGCACTAATCGAATTTGCAGAATACTCATCGTAGTCGAAATTCTGAAGCTGCCAATAGTACTGACCCGTTGTATCTCCGCCACCAGTTGACATATTTGTGTCAACTTAGAGGATTTTTACTTCTACTTAGATAGATCAGTGGTCCAAATGTACGTCAAACATTCTAAATATTTCAGAAAATGTGATATTTTTTCAAATTTTAACACTTGGTACCTTGAAAATAAAGCCAAATGAGTAGTTCATTATTTTGTCATGAAAATTCAATCACGTCAATTTTACTACCCAATTTTTTGTTTTCAGTTTACCGTCATCAACGCAAAATTATCACGTGCCGCAGAACTGACACAAAAACCTCTTATTTTAAAAGAATGTGGGTTATGTCTGATTACAAATAAGCTTTTGACTATAGAAAGTTATTGTACAAAGAAAGGGACTTGATAATGTATTCAAAATTTTCTGAAGTGTATTAAACAAGTAATAACCAGCAACACTTCAAAACAGTCTATTTTAAAGAGACATATTTAAAAAAATAGTTAATGTTGTAAATTGAAAACAAAACTTTGTTTCTCATGAGGCATTTATTAAAGTTTTTTGGCAAAATATTAAATTGAAAATAAAAAAATCACTTTTTTCAAATTACCTTAATCTGAAAAGATCTGAAATATGTATGTTTCAGTGGCTAATGACAACTTTTCTCTAATTTGACCATCCTTTACTTTGTACCACTTTTTATATATTTCTCTGATAAACATCCTCATCTTGGGACGCTGTATATCACTTTATTTTAAATATTTTTTAATTATACATATTTTTTTTCCTATTATGTTGTCTGATAATAAAATCTTGTCTGGGATATAATTGTTTTTAAATGTATATTTAAACAATATTCTTTCCATTCTTTGATTCTCAATTTTATTTTGTATATACAAGTAATTGCACAATTCAAATGATTTCATTTTTAACAAGTAATTTTTTATCATTTTTATTTTCATTGGTTAAGTATCTGGCATTTGTAAGTTGGATTCTTACATAAATGACCATGTGACTGACTTTTAATTACAGGGTGAATTCGAAACATTCCGCAAATAAAAATATTTTCTATATTTCATTATACAGTGTTTAGTTCATATTTTGTTTAATAAGTCGATCTTAAAAAAAGATTCATATTCACCCTGTAAGTATTTTATCATTATTTTCGCAGAATGTAATAGAAAATTGCAGTTTGAAAATTTATATTTGTTGTAGGAGCTTGTTAAAAATCATATATTTATTTTTATAGTTTATAATCGTTATTTTCTCCCTATGACACACATCTGCTATGCTTTACTATAAGCTATGAATGTATAAAATATGTATTACGTACTACTAAATATTAAGTAGAACAATTTAGGGAATTTGTAATTTATTGTTTATTTGACAAAAACCATTTGTCGTTCTTATTATTATTGTATAATTGTATAAGTATTATATGAAATAAAGAAACTGAATTCAGATAATAGTCTATTATCAAAAACAATTATTAATTACATCGTAACAACTTCCATACAAGGGTAAAAACAGTTGCTGTCTACACCTTCATTCCATTTTTTTTTGTTTTGTACAAAAAATAGTAGTATTCTTCTTCGATACACGAACAGATCTTGAGTGTAAGTAACAACACTTTTATTGTATCATCACATAATATTAAAATTTTTATAAAGTCCAGCAATTGTTTCAACAAAATCTGAAACAGTTCAGTTTTCTTCAATTTACATCATTGACGAAAGCTCTTTGTAATGATCCCAAATAACAGCTGATCGTTGTCCCAAAACATAAATGGTACTGCCATTAACAGGCATTTTACGTTTTTATCATAATACTAGTGTGATCTATGCCGCAAAATGCACCTGAAAATGATGTCTAGGCGTACCTAAATAATTGTTTAGGTACAATACTTCATTTTAATCAGCTTTTTTCTCAGAATAATAGAACATTAGTCGTATCTACAATGCTTTATAATGTCGAAGAATTTTGGTTGGTACTGCCATTTAACGGTGAATATTGGATTCTATAGTTTATGCAAAGTGTTAGAAGTTTGACTGCCTTAATTAAAATAAATAAAAAAACCTTATATAAGATGAATCCTAAACTCAACCATTTCCGAGAAAAAATTATCAAAATCTCCAACTTGATGTACAAAAGTTCAATTAATTAAGGAACATTGACATAAATGCGTGCATAGAATACCATAAAATACAATGTTTATCACTTTTTTGAACTTCTTCAAAAAAGCTTTGTGCTTAATTCTAAATAATAATTAGCGTAATAAATTTAAAATTCGATAAAATTCATATCGAGCAATGTGACAACGGCGCCGGCGCGGCGGTTAACACGAGATACTAAGCTGTCCGGCATTACGCAATTTAGTTGATATCTGGAGTTGGACTGTGTCTGAGTGTTTTTTGCGTACCACTATTTCATTTTCTTGAGGTGTTTTCCAGCTAGTGCACGAAAATTGGATTCGAAGGTGTCGTGTGCATGCATCAGAAATGGTGGTGGACATTTTGAACATATGTTATAGTTTGTTTTATACTTGGTGCATTTAAAAATTACTGAATTTTGCTTTTTGGTAAGTGCCTAAATTATTATCTTAGTACTACAAAATCGATACATTTTATTTTATTTATTTAAAAACTGGAAAACAATTGTCTTAAAATTTACTAAATGTTTCACAATAATAGCTGTTTACATTTTTTTGTAGGATAAGTCTACCGCGTACACACGTGGTGTGCATCAGTTGTGTACCGCTGTGTCACGTGATGAAACTCCCCAATATTAATTTGCTGTATTTTGAAAACTGTTAATCGTCAGGCAGTCATACTTCTTACACACCCTGTATAAGTACCTTCTAATTTATAAAGGAGCCTGTGACAACCAATATAATTATATTGTTGGCTAATCTCCTTTTATTTTATAATTCGATTAAATTTTGGATATTAAAGTATTTTCAAATTAGTCAACTATGTCAAATTGTTATTAAATGACAAAATGGGCAGGACTTTATTGACGTCACTCCAAATATGTGGTAGAATTATGATACCCGATAACAGATTTACTGTACTGAATGATTTTTTGAAATAGGTTTTGAACCAAAAAGAAAACCGAAAGCATTCCTGACATCAGTTCCTCTCTAGCTCTTCTACTATTTGAAANATTCAAATTTTTATAAAGTCCAGCAATTGTTTCAACAAAATCTGAAACAGTTCAGGTTTCCAAGATTCGATAAAATTTATATCGAGCAATGTGGCAACGGCGCAGCGATTAACACGAGGTACTAACCTGGCCAACAATACGCAATTCAGTTGGTGTTGTTATCTGGAATTGGACCGTGGAGTGTTTTTTGCTTACCACTATTTCATTTTCTTGAGGTGTTTTCCAGTGAGTTCGCAAAAATTGGATTCGAAGGTGTCTTGTGCGTGGATCGAAAATGGTGGTGGACATTTTCAGCATATGTTGTAGTTTGTTTTGTACTTGTATGTTTAAAAATTACTGAATTTTGCTTTTTGGTAAGGTAAGTAAGTAAGTTTTGGTTTGGTAAGGTAAGTAAATTATTTTTAATACGTATGATTATTTAGACGACGTGAATCTGTGGGTACTTTAATTACATATTTTTCAAACTCATAATTTGATTAAAAGTTAAGTTCCTGTTTTAAGAGATTCATAATTACTAAAATTCGAGCTAAATTTTAAGCACAACACTATCTTCGTACTACAAAAACGATACATTTTATTTTATTTATTTAAAAACTGGAAAATAATTATCTTGAAATTGACTAAATGTTTCATAATAATAGTTGTTTACATTTTTTCCGTAGGACAAGTCTGCCGCATGGAGCTGTGTGTAACATTAGGTTAAGTGCTGTCGTCATGTGATGAAACTCCCCAATACTAATTCACTGTATTTCGAAAACTGTTAATCTTACACCCCTATAATATACAACTTTTTTGTTCATTTATGATTACTCTATTTCATACTGAAGTTATGGCAGTCAGGCAGTCATACTTTACACCCTGTATAAGTAAAGTACCTTCTTATTTATAAAGGAGCCTGTGACAACCAATATAATTATATTGTTGGCTAATATCTCCTTTTATTTTATGATAATTGGATTAAATCTTGGACATTAAAATATGTCAAATTGTCATTAAATGGCAAAAATGGGCAAGACTTTATTGACGTCACTCCAAATATGTGGTAGAATTATGATACCCGATAACAGATTTACTGTACTGAATGATTTTTTGAAATAAAAAGAAAACCGAAAGCATTCCTGACATCAGTTCCTCTCTAGCTCTTCTACTATTTGAAACAAGTTTTTTTATTACTAAAAGCCCATAAAAACTAACTATTCCGGCATGATCAGTGGTCCAAATTATCTGTTATTGAGCTTTCGGATGGACGTATTAAAATTTCATAAATTTTCGTGGACTGTCATTTGATTTTTACTAAAAGCGTTTTGGGCCTCTGAAAAAATAAAATACTATAGGTACACTGTATCGATTCTGCTAATTTTTTAAACTTTAAAAAAATCCTTATATCAGTTGTACCGATTATAAAACTGAAATTATTCCTCTCCAGTCATTGAGATTTTCTAGACTCCTTTGTTGTCAGTCAGTTTGGAGTAAGTACAATTCAATTCACATCCACTCGTTGCAGCGAGTAGTCCAGTTCATCAACAGCCCATGCAAGATCGCAAGATCGTCGTTTGGTACGATTTTTCCAAGTCCAGCTTGTGAAGACTATGCAACCGCCACGATTTGCCGTGGAAGTGTGAAAATTGAGCTTAATTAGGAATTTAGTTGATATCCACCTATTAAAGCAAGCAGTCCTATCCAGCAATCGTTTAGCTACCAAAGTAAGTTCCACGCATGCCTAATGCACAATTCTCCCATGTTGGCCGGAGACCAGGTGAGGTAATTCTGCGTCAGTTCCAATCCACCACTTGACCGGAACATTCCTATGGGTAAAGGCTTGGTTACTGTATGGTTTGTACTAATCATACTTTTCATCTTTCCGCCCATACTACAACGTGGTTAGGTACATTGTCTTTTCTTTCCAGTGTACTTGACCTAACTGCCTGTTCGACTCATGCAATATAGTCCCCATATACCGTTCTATGAGTTCAAAGGTGGGTCATGACTAATCACATTTTTATTTTCAGCCTTGCCAGCCGCCCACCAGTCCTAAGGAGCCCTGCTATTATTGTTGTATTCCTTTTTTTATGTATGAGATAGTAGCCAAGCCTATAGTTTAGTGAATGTAACTTTGCTTTTGTCCGCTTGATTGCTTCCCTACTCCTGATATCTTGCACACGTTTGCCGTAAAATCTGCTCGCCCGCTAGCGTTCCACTATTATGTTGTGCATTGTCTTTCGTCAGGTTGCCATTTAATACCATAGTCGCTTGTCACCATCTAACCTGAGCTTTAAAGTAGTGGCGTAGGACTGTACACAATAACGTTTAATAAATGTAAATAGTATTTATCAAGTGACTTATTCTTGTGAGAAGTTTAACTAGACCCCTGGACATACTGTATCTTCATCATGCGAACCGACGCACTCCGCAGTCGACTAACCGCGAAGTGATAACATTACAAGGTATAGTCTTTCCGATCTCAATTGAAGAACCAAGAGGTTGGCAGTATGTACCACGTTCAGTCGCTGACACAGCAACTCGGCATTGAAATATTTGAAAAACTTGTTCCCATATTTATTTAGCCGTACCCATATACAAGTCTGGTCCAACTAAACGTGGAGGTGGTAGAAATGTATACGCCCAGTTGAAGAATGCAAGCGCGAGCAAACGGCGTATAACACAGCCGCACTGTGTGACTGGGCAATAAATCTCAATTGTTGACAACTTGAAACTCATTAAATTTTATTGCTAGGCGTTTTTATATATGTTCAACTGACTTCAGAAAGACTATACAATGTTGCACTACTTTTCCAGGTGTGAACACATATTTTCTTTTTCAATGTTTTACCTTATACATTTCTCCATTTCTTCTAATACTAATTAAATCAGCATTTTATAGAATTTGAAAACATATACATACACACATATACAAGCAACACAGATGAATGCTCGGAGCATACTGCTGTGAGTCATGCATAAATGTGTCTCGTTAATGTGACTTGCGACATCTATAAAATGAAAAATGTGTGCTCAGATCTTTGTCACATGATTTCTAGTAGAGCTGTCGCCGAGTAGATTGATATTCCGACTGAAATTGATTTATGTTTAGATTTTCGTAATTTCGATACCAGCCGATAGACCACATAACGAGCAACAAGCAACGAGTTTATGAATATTTTGTGTTTTGTGGTCTAACTGAATTTTAAATTCATATTCAAGGAGAGGAATAGGGAACGAATATCAGGGATGTAGGTCGATCGGTACTCCATCACAAATTGACAACATGGAACTGCACAGAATATTTATTTGTATAAATAAACTAAAACTAAGAAGAATTAAAAAAAACCTTGATCATATAAATAATTAATAAAAACAGTTACCGAATGTGTGTACCAATTAACAATCCACTTTTTGCTTCGATCCAGTAACTGTGGTCATTAAATTTCGTAATAAAAAATAACAAAAACTGCTCAGAACTAGAGCTCACTGTACAAAAATTAATATATGAATAGTTATATATTTTCATCATACAGTGGTGTGGCATCACCCAATGACATGGAGTGCGGGGAAGTATTGGTGCGTGGAGTGGATCGAACTGATCTCGGACTTTTTCCGACATTTTTCATGCGTGTTCTCTCCAAATCGTTTCTGACGTCTTCAAATCTGGGGGTTCTCTGCCCACCGGAACGTGGCGTATTGCGACCTTCACTCCTTGGTGTAGCTAGAAAATAACAAATGTGTGTATTATTGATGGTAATAAATATTCTTTATTGCATAAACCAGATCACTATTAACAGTATTAACCAAATATGTACTATTAAAGGTATATACACTGTGTCCAAGGTAAAGAGAGGGATGCCAAAAACGGTGGAAGATACAGGCTGGTTCAAATAAGAAAAAAGGTGTACCAGAGGCTACTATTGAAATAGCATAAGGAGACCTTTGATATCTTTCTTAATTTTTGAAATATTTTGAAAAAAAAAACTGACTTGAATTTTGTATTTTATTGTTTTCAACAATTATCAAAGTTAGAGCAAAGAAAAACACTTCTTCATGGCCTTCCGTACTTTCTCATGTTATCATGTGTCTCAAAAGTCCATTATTTTTTATTTAAAATTTTCATTTATTTTTAATACAGCCTTTCTTTTAAAATACACATTGACAGTTTTTTTAATTATTTTCAAATCTGTTCATAAAAACTGTGTAGAAGTTAACTTTCTAAGGTCAAAGAAATACTGAAAATTTAATTTCATATTACATAACAATTTGTAATAACAAATTAAGTAGTACTGCAAATAAAAAAAAACAATTCATTTTAGTTGTTCATTTCCTGATCTCGGTCAGTTCAACCTCTAATGAATATCGTATTCAAGATTTATATGTTAAAAGACAAAGCAGTATTTAAAAGATTGAAGTTGATAATAGTAAATCAAAAACAAAACATTGGATGATAACATCGAATTCCATGAAAAAGTACAAAATAATTATTCTTTTTTTGTTCTAGCTCTAATAATATGAGAAAATAAAATAGGAAATAGAAAAATTAGAGTTCTTCAAAATAACTAAAAAATGTCATGTCATGATTCATTTATATCATTCTAATGGCCTTGTAATGCTAACATTATTCTAATTTGAGCCACCTTGTCATTCACCACTTTTTTTACTCCCGTGAAAATCATTCTTATCTTGAACACAGTGTATATAATTTTTATTACTGTTATTTTGTTGAGTGACAACACAGTAACAAAAAAAAAGTGGGTTGAACCTTGTTTCCTACAATATTTTGATCCCCTGAATCCTTATCTTAAGTCAGAATTCTCATATCAGTTTGTATTTTAACTCTAACAATCAAGACAATACTCTAGAAAGTAGTTTTCGAGGCTTTAAACTGACTTGACTAGTAAGTGATTGAAATAACATTCGCTACTCTCATTGCATCACAACTCAAAAACCCTGTAGCTTCATAACCCTGTAACCCCAAAACCCTGTCACCCCATAAGAGATGTGGAAAGTGGAAAGTATCTCATATATCTGAAACTGCATGACTGAAGATTTAAATCTACATGGTGTGTATAATCTATAAAAATTAAACTACAGCTTCCTGATGATATTTGTAATAGAAAACTCTTATACGAAAAAGTTCTATCTTCACGTTTTTTTTCGTAAATTAAAATTCATTTATTCAATGAAAATGAAAGCCAACCCTTTGTTATTTATTAAAAACTTTGGAAATGTTTCTATGCGACCGAAGATGCAACCTTATAATTTAAGTCGGTATAATCTAAGGCCGCTCACAAACACGGCCCCTTGTGGTCGCCACTAGTGGCGGCCACCAAGGGGCCGTGTTTGCGAGCGGCTTTTGGGTTCAGCGCAAACACAGCGTTGGCAGTGGCTCGGTCGGGCCACACGTTGTGGCAGAAGTCGTACCTCGCTGCTTGTAGCCGACGACAGCCACTCGTCTTTCGGCGCACACGCGGCCACACCAAGTGGCCTCAGTCTATCGCCACGTTTCTGTTCGACGGGTACGTATTCTGAATTATGAGCACAGAAATGGAGGACATTATAGACGTAGATGTGTTTATATCCGAAACTGACTAGAGACGATACTGGATAGAAAATTCATGAAAAGTGGCGGCCACTGGTTAAAAAATTAGAAGCGCGTGGCGGCCACCTGTAGCGAATACTAGTGGTTGCTTCTAGCCACTTGGTGGCCGCCACTAGTGGCGATCACAAGTGGCCGTGTTTGCGAGCGGCCTAATACTAGTAATACTAAAAGGTTAGGTTATATTGTCAAAAAATTTGTGCAGTCAACTGTTTTTTATTTGTACTGAATTCATTATTCACTTAATTATTAAATATTAAGCATCGTCCATCACCTGTCAGTGTTAAAAAGTGTAAAATTCCAGACAAAAAATTTTATTTTGTAATTCCACGATAGTGACAGTATAGTTTTTATGAAGTAAAAAATAAGAATAGCGTGCCGATTACATTAAAAACCAGATTCTCATTTCCTACTTTGCTTAATTTTTTAGTTGGTGCACAAATTAGTTTTAGAATGAACCGAGAAAACAATGCATTTACTATCTCCGAACGTGTCGATATGATGTTAGTTAATGGTGCAGCCAGAGAAAATGCGCTCGCAGCGACTAGGTTGTACCGGGAACAATGGCCGCAACGTCACCCCCTTTGTGCAAATATAATCCTATAGTGCGCACAGCGGCTGCGAGATACGGGAAGTGTTATTCCTCGAGGAGAAGGACGTGGTCAGCAAGCGAACCTTAATGTTGAAGATGCAGTGTTGGTTGAAGATGCAGTGTTGAAAAATCTTGACGAAGACCCCACAATTAGTATTCGATGACTCGCACAGTAAGTAGGAACCTTATCTCGTACCATATATTGCATCTTAAGGCACCAGCTGTTTTTGTTTTGTTTGCGAACTCTTGCAGTCACAACAATGTATTTAAAATAGTAATTACTATTAATTATTATAATAAGAAAATATCAGTTTTTTTAAATCTATTTTTCTTAGTTTGTATTTTTGCAAGTATCTTTCTTTCTTTCAACGACGATTTGTTTATGTGGCTGGCCTACAGCACGTAATTCATCGTACAGCACATGGACAGGACCGTTACAGAGAAAATATTTTGATCCATAATTGAACTTTAATTTTTTTTTAAGAAAAAAAAAAACGCAAAACTAGAACTTTTTCGTATAAGACTTTTCTATTACAAATATCGTTAGGAAGCTGTAGTTTAATTTTTATANCTCTAATGAATATCGTATTCAAGATTTATATGTTAAAAGACAAAGCAGTATTTAAAAGATTGAAGTTGATAATAGTAAATCAAAAACAAAACATTGGATGATAACATCGAATTCCATGAAAAAGTACAAAATAATTATTCTTTTTTTGTTCTAGCTCTAATAATATGAGAAAATAAAATAGGAAATAGAAAAATTAGGGTTCTTCAAAGTAACTAAAAAATGTCATGTCATGATTCATTTATATCATTCTAATGGCCTTGTAATGCTAACATTATTCTAATTTGAGCCACCTTGTCATTCACCACTTTTTTTACTCCCGTGAAAATCATTCTTATCTTGAACACAGTGTATATAATTTTTATTAATTTATTTTGTTGAGGTCTGATTTTGAGTGACAACAAAGTAACAAAAAAAAAGTGGGTTGAACCTTGTTTCCTACAATATTTTGATCCCCTGAATCCCTATCTTAAGTCAGAATTCTCATATCAGTTTTTATTTTGACTTTAACAATCAAGACAATACTCTAGAAAATAGTTTTTGAGACTTTAAACTGACTTGACTAGTAAGTGATTGAAATAACATTCGCTACTCTCATTGCATCACAACTCAAAAACCCTGTAGCTTCATAACCCTGTAACCCCAAAACCCTGTCACCCCATAAGAGATGTGGAAAGTGGAAAGTATCTCATATATCTGAAACTGCATGACTGAAGATTTAAATCTACATGGTGTGTATAATCTATAAAAATTAAACTACAGCTTCCTGATGATATTTGTAATAGAAAACTCTTATACAAAAAAGTTCTATCTTCACGTTTTTTGCGTAAATTAAAGTTCATTTATTCAACTAAAATGAAAGCCGACCCTTTGTTATTTATTAAAAACTTTGGAAATGTTTCTATGCGACTCGAGATGCAACCTTATAATTTAAGTCGGTATAATATAATACTAGTAATACTAAAAGAAGGTTAGGTTATATTGTCAAAAAATTTGTGCAGTCAACTGATTTTTATTTGTATTGAATTTATTATTCACTTAATTATTAAATATTAAGCACCGTCCATCGACCCATCAGTGTCAAAAAGTGTAAAATTCCAGACAAAAATTTTTATTTTGTAATTCCAAGATAGTGACAGTATAGTTTTTATGAAGTAAAAAATAAGAATAGAGTGCCGATTACATTAAAAACGAGATTCTCATTTCCTACTTTGCTTAATTTTTTAGTTGGTGCACAAATTAGTTTTACAATGAACCGAGAAAACAATGCATTTACTATCTCCGAATGTGTCGATATGGTGTTGGTGTATGGTGCAGCCAGAGAAAATGTGCTCGGGGCGACTAGGTTGTACTGGGAACAATGGCCGCAATGTCACCCCCTATGTGCAAATACAATCCTATAGTGCGTTCAGCGGCTGCGAGATACAGGAAGTGTTATTCCTCAAGGAGAAGGACGTGGTCAGCAAGTGAACCTTAATGTTGAAGATGCAGTTGGAAAATTTTGACGAAGATCCCACAATTAGTATTCGATGACTCGCACAGTAAGTAGGAACCTCATCTCGTACCATATATTGCATCTTAAGGCACCAGCTGTTTTTGTTTTGTTTGCGAACTCTTGCAGTCACAACAATGCATTTATGCGGCCGGACTACATATTTTGATCCATAATTGAACTTTAATTTACGAAAAAAAATCGCAAAAATAGAACTTTTTCGTATAAGACTTTTCTATTACAAATATCGTTAGGAAGCTGTAGTTTAATTTTTATAGATTATAACCTCTTAACCCGGGGCATGCAAGTTCATGTAAACCCATGAACTGGGGCATGCAGATTTGCATTACAGACAACCAGTGTTTTTCTCTTTGTATCTACACTGAAAAAATAATGCACAACAAAAAGAATGGGTTAGGCCGTGGACCTATATAGTATGTTGGTTCTCTCCAGGAATTCTGACTAGATTTGGATTTAGAAAGTCGGAGTACTATGGAATGCACTGATCTGGTCCACGGTTTATTAACTTTTCAGAACAATTAAAGTAATTTTAATCTAGTTAGGACTAAATTCGAACGCAGAAAAATAACTTCAGATGTTGTTCAGCACTCTTTAAAATAGATGGATAAAAAAATTCTAAGTAACTTCTTTAGTTTGCAGTGCAGCAGAGACAATAAATTTCAATTAAATTTCTCATATTTACTCACAGAGCATTCTATATTTTAAAAAGCGAACACTTTTTCTTCACTCTATCACTTGATATTTTCTTTAACTGAAAATGTGAAACCAATAACAACGGCCAACTATCCAAACTTCATCTGTATCTATACATAAAATATATTGTGTACAAATTTATTACTGCTTTTCTCCATATTTGATAATCAAAGTTAACTTGAAGAATTTATTTGGTACACCAAAAACAAAAAACTTAAAACATAATAAAATCTTACTTTTCGATCTTGCTGCCCAAGCTTCTGCAGCCTTCTGCCAATCCATCGACTCCGAATTTCCTCCATACCTGCCCCCATCTGGATAATTTCTATTCATATAACCCCTTGGAGAATCGATTGGTTGGTATCCCCCTGCCCTCGCAGGATCGTAACTACCCCTGCTGTGCGAGTGACTGCCGAAGGAACTCTGCGACCCTGGACTAGGTGTTGGGCTAGGTTGCAACATGGGAGACTGGGTTGTGAGGTTTCTGTAGCTGGGTGTTCGCTGAGAGGGCGTCACAGCTCCCGGATGCAAGAACGGCCCATTGAGGTGGGGCGCTGTATTCGGCATGTGCTGTGAGGGCGTCTGTTGTCCATAACGAGGTGTTTGTTGAGTATGGGGCGTTTGATATGGGGTCATAAACGGTGTTTGCCCACTGGGTGTATAAGGCTGAAAAATACGTCCCATGTTTATACTTACGATTTTCAAAGTGAAATTCTACACCATGTCTACAATTAAAGGTAATCTAAAGGGATAGCATTTCAATTTACAGAAAAGTCATGACAAAAAAAATTTAGTTTGCGGATTTATTTTGTTTTATCTCCAAATTTCTTTTTCAAACCGTCATTTCAGCATCATGTTTAAAATTATTTTAGTTTATTTCCATTCAAAAAATTCAATGAACTGAATAAAGACTGGAGAATATATTTCCGTATTCACAGATTTTTTTTTTCAATGAAAATTTAAACAATTTTACATATCTTATAAAGTTAAAATCACTATTTAATAATCAGACAAGGAAAATTAAGAAAATTTGTTCAGTATTTCAGTAAATTTATAGATAAATTGGCCTTCATCAATTGTTCTTAAGTAAAAAAGAAGGAATCACTGGATAATATTAATTGAATATTGAAAATATTTTTTTATTAACGAAAATGTTTTTAGGCTAAAAAAATCAATTTTTCATTTCATTTTTTCTCATATATTTTCTTACTTCACGGACTCAATAGTCTATAATTGAACAAATTAAATAAAAGTGGAAGTATGAAGTATACATCTGTACCTAAAGTTTTTGTGTATGTAAAATAATATAACATTTAAAAATGACTTTAAACCAAAATATTAATTAACAAAGTGAAACTTTAATGTCATATCCTCATATCAGTAGAAAAATAAGTGTTATTTTGTTACTTAGATGGCAGTACCAACAATAACCAATAGTAACACTGGATTTCATCACAATGAAATGTCAATCCAAATACAATAAGTCCACTTGTCATCAAATTTGAAATAGTGTTATTGAAACAGGTGCATTCCACTTTAGTCAATATGATTGTGAAACTACAAGAACGAATAAAAAATGCTGCCAGAATAATTGCAACAATTCAGAAATTCCAGTAAGAGTGAAAGAACATTTTCAAAGTTGTGTACAACTATGCCTTAATTAATAACGGAGGATATTTTGACATTTATTGTAAATTAATTGAGTCAAATAAGTGTCAGTTAACCGAAATAACAATTTCTTTTCGGTGAGGTGGTGATCTTACAAACTGAAATTTTTGGAAAAAAATTATTAAGACAAAAGTTGTAGCTGACAAGTTAAATTAGTGGTTCCAATTTTGGCTCTTATTTCTGGAACTTTCGTAATATATGAAATCTTTATAACCAAGTATTTTCACCACTGGTTTAGATGGAACTTTCAAATTTGTTTGTTATCAATGAATATTCGCTTTAATCGAGGTGGGCTGTATCTCGTTCTAGTGAGAAATCCTAAGCTGAAATTGTTATCAATGAATATTCGCTTTAATCGAGGTGGACTGTATCTCATTCTAGTGAGAAATCCTAAGCTGAAATTGTTTACGTCTATAGGAATCGCAGAATCAATTGTGCATTTATTTTCAATTACTAGATTGTTTCTAATTTTGTGCCACAATGATCGAATATCTAAAAATGATGAAATACGTGTTTCACTTACCGTATTAATATAATTGGCAGCCCCATAAGCACCACCAGGAGTGTGAGGATAATGTGGAGTCTGGTTTGCAACAGCAGACAATGTCTGCATCATGTGGCTCGGGAGATTTTGTGCTACCCTCTGAATAGCTTCAGTATTCATGTCTAAAAATAAATAAAACATTAAACGGCATATCTGGAAACTATGAGATAAAAAATTAAACAAACAATTGTAATCATACAAATAATGACCAAGTTCCTACAGCACTCTTTGTGAGGAGTATGGGGCACTAAACAGCCATTATATTAACAAATTCTATATCAGAGATAATTGCAAAATTTATTAAAAAAAAATTTTTGTTGCATTAACTGTTTCTGAGCAAAACGAATTTAATGTCTTGTGGCAATATTTAACGACGACATTTTCTGATCAGGAGCCTTATTCATAAGTTGGGGAAACAAGTTCCTATGAGAAAATGACGTAATTTCGCTAAACTGACATATATGTTTCTATAGGAAATTTTTACATTTCTATGTCATATTTGATTCACTCTCCTATAGAAAATTGTTCTATCAATTCAAGAATTACGGCCCCGGTACACTGTTTATACGAGGTTTGATCAAAAAGTAACGGGAATTGTTAATTTTCTCAGAAAGTATTTATTTAATCCTCAATTTTTTTCCATCCCCTTCGAAATAGCCCCCCAGTTATACTATACACTTATGCTAATATAGTTCCCAGTTTGAGAAACACTGATGAAATGTCTCTTTACGTATCGTCTTGAGCACGGTTTGTGATTTTGTCTTTATCTCATCTATTGTTGAAAAACGTCCNGAAACTATGAGATAAAAAATTAAACAAACAATTGTAATCATAAAAATAATGACCCAAGTTCCTACAGCACTCTATACAGTGTGTCCCCGGATGGGGTACCGCACACTTGTAAATTTTTTTATTGTCGATTTTTCAAGAAAAAGTTATTCTTGATAAAAAGTTTTGCTTAACTTGGGAAGCCATGGGCAGTAATCAAATATGAAATAAATCATACACGGAGTCCAAAAAATTTCAAAATGTGAAATTTTCCCCAAGCAAATTAATTTTTGTTTTCGTTAAAAACTGTATTTAACATAATTGATCGAGAACTCAAGAAATGCTTAAATATGGGGTTTAGTCAGAAAACGACAATAATCACATTTTAGAAGGACTTTAGAAGGACCTTTACATTTGACCAGATCTCGCCTCATCTTCGAAGTATATTCTTGGCCTTCCTGAAAACATTTGTACCGTACCATTGATAGACTCATGTCTGTGACATAGTTTGGTCGCCAAAGGCCTACTTTAACATTTTAAACACTTCGCTGCACTTAATTCTATTTTTAAGACAAAATAACAGACAAACTCTCTGATCTGACACAAAAAATCACCAAAAACACTGAGGTAAGTCTACTACGCAAATCTATGCTAGAGCCATCACTCGATTTTTCATTTAATGAATATTAAAAAAAATGCACTCGAAAATATTATTTTTTAAGAGTGACATTTAAATGGCAGTTACTAATAAGTTTATGATGCCAGATTTCACCTCATTCGTAATAAAAAATAGATGTGCAATTTGTGCAGTTGTCTATTGCCTACTTGAGCGGATGAGCGCACTCAATTCGTTTGTACGCTCAACTCCGCTCTCGTGGGCTTACCGCACTTATTGTATGATATCCTATTTATACTCAAATATTGCTGGCATAAATTTCAAGGTAAATTTCAACTATTTTTAAGGGTTTTGCTTCAAAATATTAAAAATGTTTGTTTTTCAGAAATGGTAAATGTCAATATGGAACAAAAGAATTCTTTTAATAAGCTCTCTTAATAACCTCTATTAAATTACTTATTTTTTTTTAAAAACTGCAAAAAAAAATTGTTAATATCAATTATTTAGTTAATATGGATTATTTAAACCCTTTCGAGCTTTTAGAAATTTAAGGATTCTATCTTTAGTAGCTATTAAACAAGTGCATTGAATTTGACAAAAACTGCTCAATTAAAAATATAAAATAAAACAAAAGATAATTTTAAACATGTGTTAGCAGCAGTGCACTTGACAGGTCGATAATCGCCTTATTTTTTCAGAGAATTAAACGTTTTAATGAAAATGCAGACCTAAAAATTTGTCAGCCGCCGACTGTCTGTCAATTGACCCGAGAGTATAGGAACTTATACCATTATTATTATTTACCCAATAATGTAAATGACTTTGTAGATATTTTTAAACAGTATGTTCAGTAAATTTAAAAGTTTTAAATGCTATACATTCATTTTTATTCAAAATATTTGAAAAAAAATGGATGTATGATCGTAAAGTATCTTTTTGATATTCTAAATATGTAAATTCAACAAAGTTTCAAAACATATCCTGAGGAACATAAATGTCCATAAATATAATTAATTAATTAGAAGATAACACAAATATATTATTTTATTCTTTTTTNCGTGTTTCACTTACCGTATTAATATAATTGGCAGCCCCATAAGCACCACCAGGAGTGTGAGGATAATGTGGAGTCTGGTTTGCAACAGCAGACAATGTCTGCATCATGTGGCTTGGGAGATTTTGTGCTACCCTCTGAATAGCTTCAGTATTCATGTCTAAAAATAAATAAAACATTAAACGGCATATCTGGAAACTATGAGATAAAAAATTAAACAAACAATTGTAATCATACAAATAATGACCAAGTTCCTACAGCACTCTTTGTGAGGAGTATGGGGCACTAAACAGCCATTATATTAACAAATTCTATATCAGAGATAATTGCAAAATTTATTAAAAAAAAATTTTTGTTGCATTAACTGTTTCTGAGCAAAACGAATTTAATGTCTTGTGGCAATATTTAACGACGACATTTTCTGATCAGGAGCCTTATTCATAAGTTGGGGAAACAAGTTCCTATGAGAAAATGACGTAATTTCGCTAAACTGACATATATGTTTCTATAGGAAATTTTTACATTTCTATGTCATATTTGATTCACTCTCCTATAGAAAATTGTTCTATCAATTCAAGAATTACGGCCCCGGTACACTGTTTATACGAGGTTTGATCAAAAAGTAACGGGAATTGTTAATTTTCTCAGAAAGTATTTATTTAATCCTCAATTTTTTTCCATCCCCTTCGAAATAGCCCCCCAGTTATACTATACACTTATGCTAATATAGTTCCCAGTTTGAGAAACACTGATGAAATGTCTCTTTACGTATCGTCTTGAGCACGGTTTGTGATTTTGTCTTTATCTCATCTATTGTTGAAAAACGTCCTTTGAGTATCCATTTGAACTTAGGAAATAGAGAAAAATGACAGTATGCGCCAGTGTGTTGAACTATTTCATTGTACTAGAAAAAACGGTTAGAAGGACCTTTACATTTGAGCAAATCTTTAATGTCTTCCTGGCCTTCCTGATAATATTTGTACCATTGATAAACACGTGGCTGTGACATAGTATCGTTGCCAAAGGCCTTCTTGAACATTTTGGACGCTTTACTGCACTTAATTCTGTTTTTAACTCAAAAAATCACCAAAAACACTGAGGTAAGTCATACTCATTCGTCTCATTAAACACAAACCAAGACTGGCAGGTATGTCACTGACAGTGCTACCAATACACGAAAAAGAATCAACTCGATAAACAGTTTGTAATTTGAAAATTCCCGTTACTTTTTGATCAAATCTCCTATTACAATTTTCATAAACTAATTCTTAATATTGTAGGTAAGTAATTTTTCTCGCAAGTCTTGAAGTGGCCAGCCGAGGTGCGTGAATTATTCATACGTCCTTCGTTTATACCGACGGTATATTTTTAATTAAATTTTTTTACATCTAATATAAATTTTGTTTTTAAAATATGTTTTCACCAAAAATCAACTTTCTCCGGAGGGAGAGAGACATAAGAACATCGGATGTTTAGATGAAGATGGGAACAAACATCAGTGAGATCAAAACGAATCTCGTAAGGACTAAATGCCAAGCTGAAAGCTGAAGGCATGAGTGACAGGTTAAGCAAATTTTAATCTTCATAGCTGTATTAATTAAAGAATTAATTTTATTTTATGTTCAAAACCCAACAATGTCCAGTAAATTTAAAAGTTTTAAACACTAATTAAGTTTTCCGTCAAATTGATTGAAAAAAAATGTGTGTATGACCTGAGTATCTAATTTTTAATGGTAAATATGTAATATTCAACAGAGTTTCAAAACATATCCTGCAGGAGATAAATGTGCATAAATATAATTAATAATATAACAATTTTTTATTTTATTCTTCTTTAACTTACTGAATGACGGTGTGCCACTACCGCCACCATAAGGTGTACGGCCGGAAGACATCCTAGGCGTGCCAGGTGTCATACCACCTGGAAGTGGATCCCTAAAGTGCTCCTTAAACCATTTAAACAACGAAGCAACAGAGTCGAACATCTGCTGCCTGAATCGAAAACCTTCAGGTGTCACCGTGACATACTCGTGTCTCACCTTGTTACGAGGAAGGTAAGACAACAGAAATTTCCCAGGTATATTCTGGAACAAAAAAATTTTTTTTATTTTGCAAAGCAAAGTTTTAAATAATTATTGTTCATTACCTTTGCAGCGCTTACAACATAATGAATTTTTGAAGCATTTTTCTTCTTTTCTTCCTTAAGGTATTCTTCAGCTTTATCTTTATGACCACCCTCAGTGTCCTTGTAGTATCTAAAATATAGCAAATCCCTAGCGTGTGCGGCCATTGGCGTGACATGTCGAGCGATGATTTCGTCTAGATCTTCAAACTCTTCGTTGCCAATCCACAATGATTTTCCTAGAAAAAAAATATAAATTTAAGAATAAAATGTTACAAAAAAGTAGATTAATCCACCACAAATTCTTTGTGGGAAAGTAGTGGGACTTTCCTTGTGTCATTTTCCATTTAGGTGCCTTTCTTTCGAGGTACAATGTATTAAATTTACCATTAAAAAAAATTTAACGGTAGGCAAGTTGAAGAATCCATGACTTGGTAATAGTAGTAAGTAGATAAAGTGTCTTAGTAGCGGCTGGCTACCGCCAGGTGACGCAAGTGACGCACCGCTTCACCTAAAATTTCCGTTTGGTTGTGCAATTTAAAATTATTTTTAATTTTATATAAATTTAGGTATAATTCTATATTGAAAATGTATTGTGTTTGTTTGTTTAAAACGCAGAAATAAACAGAATAGTTGCGCAGTGAATGCCTTGTACCATATAACGTATAGTATAAGCAAGTGACGCAGATCGAAATCAGTCTGTTTTTAGCTTCTCTTCGTAGCATTGTTTATGACAGTTGTCATGGCAACAAGGCGGCCAATACGGGAGGAAACTACGGCGTGGGGGAACAAGTAATGCGGAAATTGAAGCAGCATTGTCGTCGTCCGACACCCATTGCCTGCCTTTAAACAGTTTATACAATACACGTCGTCCAGTGCACGATTATAATGGTTCTTAGTTAATATTTGTTTTGTATTATTGGATAAACGCAAAATAAAATAAGTCGAACACTCTGTATACTGAGCTTGTGTTAATGGTGTTTATAGTCCTAAGTTAAACTTACTCCAGCGAAGCCGACGCTGTGGCTAAATACTCTGATCAGCAGAAATGCTTATATAAAAACCGAAGTATCTTTGTTCTAAATAATTATTAGTCTGTATGCAGTCTACTTAACCCTTTCACTGCTCCAGACGTATATATTCGCTAAAAATTTATAGGGCTCAAACTGCTCCAGACGGATTAATTCGCATGAATAGTTAAATTGGATCAGGCTGCTCAAACCGTATATATTCGCAACCATGCGCATTAGTGACTCGGTTATTGAAATTGGTAAGGCGAATTTTTGCGGGCAAGCTTATACCGATTGTGATAAATATTTTTATGGAGAGGTACTGGTAATAATAGCAAGATTGTTCATGTTTCTTTCAGTTCTATTTAGTACATATACCGTATTTTATTCAAAATAAAATTGTAAAATTTATCGTAAATCGTAATTTAACACAACTTAATGTAAAACTATAAGTGGTCTAACTGCTCCAGACGTATATATTCGCACGCGATAAACTTTCGCGCACGGCGTGGTAGCTATGTTCAAACGTATTGCGCAGCGAAAGGGTTAAGTGTAACGCTATAAAAGCTATATAAAATTTCATTAAAAGATTATTTACTCAGTTTACATTTTATTATTTTCTTCCCCATAACTCAACAGGTTATGGGCCCAGATACATTTACGAATTAAAAATGGACAGTTTAAAAAATCGTGAGTGAAGTAAAAACTATTTTCTCTGTGAAAAACAGTATTTGTGCGTGCGGGTACAATGGAGTCTAAAAGTCGTCGAAATATTCCGCAATTCCATGGTGAATGCTATAGTATATGGAAATTTCGTTTACGTGCTTTACTTGCGGAAGAAAGTGCATTAAAAGTGCTCGATGAAGATCCACCAGAACTGCTTGACAGACAGTGGCAAAAATTCGAACGTTTGGCAAAAAGTGTAATCGTGGAATATCTCGGTGATACAATGCTAGGATTTGTGAAAGAAGAAATAAGTGCTCGTGACATAATTCGAAATTTGGATTCGATTTATGAAAGAAAAAGTTTGGCGACGCAGTTATCAGTTCAAAAGAAACTGCTAAGTCTTCAGTTTAAAGAAGATATGCCTCTCATGAATCATTTCTTGATATTCGATGAGTTAATCGAATTATTAGCTGCAGGGGGCACTCAAACAGAAACAGCTAAAATTGCGCATCTCCTTCTAACATTACCACAATCTTACGATGGCATCGTAAGAGCAATCCAAACTTTATCAGATGACACCTTAAGTCTTGCTTTTATAAAAACAAAATTTCTAGATTACGAAATCAAATTGAAAAATGATATTACCGAAGCCAGCCATAAAGTGTTACAAGTGGAAACAACGCACAGTGAAAAATTCAAATCCAAATCAACAAAAGGCAAATGGGGCAACCAAAAATTTAAATCTCAAAAGAAATTCACACCGCGATATTCCGGTCCACCGCATAGAAAATACAACCAGTCGTCCATTATATGTAAACACTGTGGACGTCCAATAAGACGTCAACGTCAATTTTATAAGAAGATGCTTCAAAGACAAGAAAATTATGAACAAAACAGAACCCTACAAATTGTTCAAACTGAACAAGAAAAGCCCAGTGAAAGCTTTGCCTTCATGGTTGGAATTCACAAATCGCAAACACAAAAATCGCCAACCGAAATCACATTTATACTGGATTCCGGAGCAAAGGATCATCTAGGAAATCAATCTGATGTCTTCACAGCTGTTACTCCACTGGACAACCCATTAAAAATATCAGTAGTCAAAACTCGTGTTTCCAGCACTATTACATTAAAAGGTACTATCAACGTAACCACAAATCTAGGTGTAGCCGGAGTTCTGGACAACGTCCTGTATGCTGCAGAGGTACCTCATAATCTCCTGCCAGTACGTCGTATCCAGGAAGCAGGTATGACAGTAATTTTCAATAAGTCAGGTGGGGTAAGCATTAAGAAAGGCAGGAAACTAATTTTAACTGATAAGTCTATCAAGAATTTAATTAAAATTATATTTAAAGCAAACAACCCTTGTGTAAAACAAGTCAATGCAGCTACAAATTCATTAATTGAAAATAATGAGCTTTGGCATAAACGTTTAGGCCACATCGGAAAACAAAAATTCTTAGAACTCAAGAAACTAGAAGTAGCACAAGGTAATATCAATTTTAAGAAAATTTTTCCTAGTGAATCTATTTATGAGGCTTGCATTTATGGTAAACAAGCAAGGCTTCCTTTTCAAAAAGCCAAAGATAAAACTCATATTATAAGACCTTTGTTTATAATACACTCAGATGTATGTGGGTCTATAACACCACCCACTATTGATAATAAAAATTATTTTTTTAATTTTTGTTGATGGATATACCCATTATACAGTCACCTATTTGTTGACATATAAGTCAGTAGTACTTAAATTATTTCAGGACTTTGTTCCAAAAAGTGAGGCACACTTTAATTTGAAAATTGTAAATTTGTATTGCGACAATGGGAGCAAATGTCTTTCAAATGAATTTAAAAATTTCTGTGTTCAGAAAGGTATAACTTACCACCTAACTGTACCACATACGCCACAACAAAATGCAGTGGCGGAACGTATGAATCGTTCAATTACTGAAAAGGCACGCGCAATGGTACATGGTGCTGAGTTAGACAAAAGGTTTTGGGGTGAAGCAGTATTAACTGCAACATATTAAATAAATATCACAACAACTAAAGCAATAACCTCAAATAAATTACCTTTTGAACAGTGGCATAACAAAAAGCCCAGGTTAACTGACTTAAAAATTTTTGTATCCACAGCCTATATTCATAATAAAACCAGAGAGTAAATTTGATCAAAAGTCAGTAAAAGGCATAATGGTGGGATATGCATCAAATGGTTATAAATTATAAAATATTTGATATAAATACTAATAAGTTCACCATAGCACGTGATGTAATTTTAGATGAAGTAAACTTTAAACAGTCAAGGCCACAACTGAACCTTGATGGAACTTTCAATGACCCACCAAAATATAGTTCTGATATTAATATGCCGAATCCTACTTCGACAGTAGGGAAGTCGCAAGAAAAACTGTCACTGGAACAGGGGAATTAAAAACCTGTGACTACAACAGGGATACAGATACCTGTCACTGGAACAGGGGAACTAAAACCTGTGAATACAGCAGGGATACAAATACCTGTCACTGAAACAGGGGAATTTACAATTTTTAATAAAGATAAACATATATCCTCTTCAACTGAACAATCGGGAAATAAAAACGTAAATATTGACTTAAGACGAAGTGAAAGACTTAAAACATTACCAGTCGTATCATACAATGAAACCGAAGAGGATATAAATAACTATCTTATGTGTGCACAATCACTAAATTATAAAATGCCTGAAAGTTATTCTGACATAAAAAACCGAGACGATAGAGAACAATGGGAAAAAGCAATAAATGATGAAATAAATTCTCAGAGTTAAATTTTATACCTCAATTACCTTAAAAAAAAAAAGACAAAAAGAGCCACCTAAATGTAAAATAAGTAAGGTCCCATCAGTTTCACACTCACACTCAAAGAACATGGCCAATAGCTTAAGCTACTCTTTTGTAACACCCTGTATAAATAACAAACTTTTACATTNTTTTCCATTTAGGTGCCTTTCTTTCGAGGTACAATGTATTAAATTTACCATTAAAAAAAATTGAATGCTAGGCAAGTTGAAGAATCCATGACTTGATAATAGTAGTAAGTAGATAATGTGTCTTAGTGGTGAATAAATTCTGTGGTGTTTTCAATTCTAAGTTACCTTCAATTCATGTTCATTCCTGTTTTGTACAGTAAGGTTTTCACATGTTCCACAGGTAAAAATCACAAAGATTTAAATCAGGGGACTGCAGAGGCCATAAAACGACTATTTCATCGTACTTAAATAGTCTCGTGTTTTGCATCCGAAATGTGGTAGTGCAACATCATGCAAATAGTGCTTCAAACAATTTTGGCAAATTATTTATTAAAAAATTATACACCTTAATCTGTTGCATAAAATAAAAAGTTCAACAAAAGTACTGTTAATAATCCCTGCTCACATATTTACTGCAAATCGTTGCTGAAAGTTTTCTTCCAATTAAATGTGGATGTTGTGTCAGTGGCGGCTCGCCAGGTGACGCAAGTGACGCACCGCTTCACCTAAAATTTCCGTTTGGTTGCGCTATTCAAAATTATTTTTAATTTTATATAAATTTTATAATTTAGGTATAATTCTATATTGAAATGTATTGTGTTTGTTTATGTTATACGCAGAAATAAACTGAATAACTGAATAGTTGTATGGTGAATGCCTTCTATAAAAAACATTGCCTTCGTTGAGTGCAAACATCAACCTCGTACCATACAACGTATAGCATAAGCAAATGACACAGATCGAAATCAGTCTGTATTCCGCTTCACTTCGTAGCGTTGTTTATGGCGGTTGTCATGGCAACGAGGCGACCAACACGTGAGTAAACTAGGACGTGGGGAAACAAGTGACGCGGAAATTGAAGCTGCATCGCCAACGCCCATCGCCTGCCTTAAAACAGTTTATACGATACGTCGCCCAGTGCACGATTATAACGGTGTTTGTTAATATTTGTTTTGTATCAATAATTGTAGAAATGTTTCCTATATATGATCCAGTATTAGTCCAGTCGGCAGAGGCCGAAAAGTTACTGTTGGCGACATTTCCTTGATAACTCGGAAATAACTACACAGGAATACTTTAAATTATGAGTACAATAACATGTTAATTTGCTGACAAAGTATTTTATCAGGAAAAAAAAAGTTATTAACAATTTAATCGTGAAATTTTTTTTTAGTAGTTTTCTTTAAATAATTCAGCAGGATGACTTTGTATGAAAAAATGCTTAGGACATGATTTGTTCGTAAGAAAAATAGCTACAAAATGGCAGTGGTTCGATTACGAAATTTGCAATAAGAAAGCCGTGACATTGAAAAAACGGTATAAAACGTCAATTTTTTAAAGTTGCTGTAAAAATGTCAATTATAAACAAAAAGTGATAAAACTTTCGAAAACTATAGTTCAATATATATACAATAATGACGTAAAAGCAGAAAATCAGGAGAGCAAAACTTTTTGTTGTATAAGATTTTATACATCCATCGGCATCTGAAACTCGAAACTTTGCCAAATTTGTTCGAAGCTTTGCTGACACTTGAAATATGGTATACACATAGTGTAAATATGCAGAAACGAAAAGCAATTTGCAAAGTTCAAATATCTTCATTTTTGCAGCTTTGGTAAGGTTTTATACGTCGCCCTAGGATGTATATTTATGTATATTTATAAAATATTCCATCATGCCATAGCCAGCACAATTACCTACAATTTAAAATAATAATAATAATAATTTTCATCGTTTAGATCCTAAGCTGCTTAACATTCTGCGCCTGTTAGCCATACTCGTACATTATTCAACATAACATAAAACAAAATCGTACGTGTATTGTATACTTTGCGGCGAAATTCTTCAGGCTCCAATGCGTAAAGTGCAAAACAAAGGTATACAAGATCTAATAAAATAGCGAGCGATGATGCGATTGATGAAAATGCGAGTGATGCCATCGAAGATATATATAGCGAATTGCCAGAATATTGTTCTTTATATGTAAGTGATAACTACGCCGATGATGAAGAAAGGGTTGAAGATGATTCAGAACCACCAAAGAAAAAACACAAACTTTAAATAAATAATCATACATAAAATACTTAAGTAAATGAATACAAATACGTATACATATATTCCATTAAATTTCCATCTTCCTCTGTTATCTCATAAAAACATTTGCATTTTTAAAAATACATCGGTAAATTAGTAAGATTATAATTATTAAAATAACAAAATTTACAAAAATAAATTATAAAAAAAGGAAATTTTTAATAACTATAATACTGCTTAAAATGTTTCTAGAATTTCGAATTTTTATCAGCATTGTTGTGTTTCTCTCTTTTTGATACATCGATTTGAAAAAAAGCAGCTTTTTTGGTCAAGTGGAAGCTGAGAAAAGTTAATAAATAATCAGCGTCGCATTTCGAACGCACGTGCGCGCGTCTCCTGCTGAACCCCCCCACACACTCCGATGGGTGAAGGCTTCATTTTCGAGCACAAGCTTCACTCTTCGGCGCTTCTATACTATTAGAAATATGCAACTAGTAAATTTAAACAATTGTTTACTTAAAGTTAAAGGTTTACCCCACACATACGTTTTTGTTTTATGTCGATATGTTGAATGATGTACGAGTACGTCTAACATGCGCAAAATGTTAAGTAGCTTAGGATCTAAACAATGAAAATATTTTTTTTTTTTAAATTGTAGGTAATTGTGCTGGCTAATCTACAGTGATGGAATATTTTATAAATATATGTCCAAAAATTAAAAAAACGGTGACGTATAAAACTAGGGTGATGTATAAAACCTTACCAAAACTGCAAAAATGAAGATAACTGAATTTTGCAAACTGCTTGTGGTTTCTGCATATTTACACTATGTGTATACCAAATTTCAAGTGTCAGCAAAGCTTAGAATAAATCTGGCAAAGTTTTGCTTTCCTGATTTCGGCTTTAGCGTCATTATTGTATTATATTGAATTATAATATTCGAAAGTTTTATCACTTTTTGTTTATAATTGACATTTTTATAGCAACTTTAAAAAATTGACGTTTTATACCGTTTTTTCAATGTCACGGCTTTGTTATTGCAAATTTCGTAATCGGACCACTGCCATTTTATAGCTATTTTTATTACGAACAAATCATGTCCGAAGTATTTTTTTGTATAAAGTCATCCCGCTGAATTATTTAAAGAAAACTACTAAAAAAAAAAAAATTTCACGATTAAATTGTTAAGAACTTTTTTCCTGATAAAATACTTTACCTACGACCACTACTGTAAATACTTAAAAACACACCGTCTGCGAACAATGTAAGATTCCTATTACATACGGTAAAAAATCGTACAGTTTTCCTAGCAACCGCCTAGCAACGGTCAATACAATACTGTTTGTATTGACCGTTGCTAGGCGGTTGCTAGGAAAACTGTACGATTTTTTTACCAAGCTGTGCGATTTTTTTACCATACGACGTAATAGGAATCTTGCATTGATCGCAGACGGTGTGTTTTTAAGTATTTACAGTGGTTGTCATAGGTAAAGTATAGTACGTAATACGTGGTGTAATGTAACTTTTCTATTCGTGTGTAAAATGCTTTTTACAACACTTATTACGTAATATACTATTGTCAACAAATTAACCTGTTATTGTACTCATCATTTAAAGTAGGCCTGTGTAGTTATTTCCGGGTTATCAAGGTTTGACACAGGCCGAATCTCTGCTAACCGGACATATGTATTTTATTGGAAATGCCATTTTCCAGATCAAAAATTGAGGACAAAAAGGATTTTTTAAATTGCGAGAGACCTGTGCCTTCTCTCAATGTGGAAAAAAAGAGGGAAGTCGAAAGACAATGTACGTTCAGAAGTTTCGGAATGAATTTTCGGGAGTATGATGATGTGTGGAAGTGTTTATTTCAAAAACATTCCTGTATGCCGTGTTTAATTGTGTTTCTATTTTTTATAAAATCTAAATGAAAATCCTTCTCGCGAACGTCAGTTTTTCGGTAATATTGCAAATGCAAATAAAAATTCCCAGATTCATTTAAAGCCGTTTAACCTTGAAAATTTTAAAATTTTCGCGGCGCTTTTTTTTTCTTTTTAGTCAATCAATGAATATGTTTCACCTATTCTCAATGTTATGAGCCGCCACTGTGTTAATAAAACAAATTGGATAAAATTGGTAATAACTATTGACAAAATCAAACTCTCGCCGAATAATCATAGGGTGAATATGCTGTAAAAAAACATGCACTGGTATTCACGTAATATTTTCCATATTTTCAACTCACTGTTTTATCATTAATAATTTCTAAAGTTTTTTCCTCTGCTGCATATAACGTAATGCTCTACTTGTAGCTCATCTTTCATGTCATAATGTTCTTAATTGTCAAGAATCCAGAGCTCGTTGTTTTGAGATACATAAATCTCTGCGGGGATACTGGGTGAAACCTTATCATGAAAACATTCTGCATAGCATAAGGATGCGATGCTTTACAAGCATTTTGCTGACATTCACCGTAAATTATCAACATATTTAACAACCCTTTTAGATTTAATTAAGTATATCCTAACAGTTTATCCAATCACTAACACAGCACACTAAATTTGGGATTTCAAACATCACTGACTCCATGTTGAAGCAGATGTGTATTATTTATTGTAGATCTATGACAAACGATCAGCAAATAAGGACTGAACATAGAGGATGTAATTCTTTTAAAAGTAAATGTCTTAGTTTTGCTTGTTTTCCGGTTGATATGGATTTTCCGATAGTACAGAAATGTTTTGAGCACGATGTGAACAAATATAAAGAGACTAATATTACGCAAACTCCTCACAATCTCATTGTAAATTTTTTGCAAATGGTCTGTTAGGTGACCTTCTTTAAATTTTAAACCTCAATTACCTTAAAAAAAAAGACAAAAAGAGCCACCTAAATGTAAAATAAGTATGGTCCCAGTTTCACACTCACACTCAAAGAACATGGCCAATAGCTTAAGCTACTCTTTTGTAACACCCTGTATAAATAACAAACTTTTACATTTGGATTTCCAAAACATTTAAATCATTATTTATAACACTGAAAATAAAAAACTTATAAAGGAATTGTTAGTGACTGCAACAACTTACCTAATGAAAAAGCGTTAGCTTTTCCTTCTTCACGAATATCAATATGCTGATAGATGCCATCAGCCACCTTCCAAGTTATAGTAAGATGATCTGCACCTTTACTGGAAGGCCTTACAATAACTTCGCCTTGATCCATATTAGTCATACACTTCTCGGCCTCGGCATATGATATATTGTGGAATGCGGGGTGAACAATGACCCTTTTAATGTACGTTTTTCGCTGTTTTTCTTTCTTCTTGTCGGCTTCCGCCTTAGTGTCCCTGTCCTCTCTTTCTTGATCGTAGTATGGATCTCTTGGTGGCCTCCATTCGTGGTTTTTATCCAATAGATCGCTGGACTTTGACGTGCAGTCCACGGAGAATCGCTCAACATCTATTTTCATTATTCTGCAGTGGATGAGTTGACCAACACCTACTCTTTCTTCTGGATTAGACACAGGCTTGTCACTGATGTTCTTTATGTAGATGTACCCTAAAGTATTTATATATTAATATCTTTGAGACTATTTTATATAGAGAAGTTCAATTTTGTGACATCATTTATCACTGTGGCATATTTATTAAAAACATAGTCGAAATCTACAAAATTTTCTTTACTACAGTTTCCCATGAACAAAAACTACAGGTTAATAAAGATGTACTAAAAAATCATATTGGGAAGAGATTTAAGGTCAGTCAAATTAGGGCAAAGTTGTGGAATGTGATGACGAATAACTTCATGTACCTATCTTTTTCGTTTTGAAGATTTCTCTGAAAAATTTAAAATTTTGAGTTTTTAATCAAAAATGGAAACATTGTTAAAATTTAAAATATTTTTTATAAGAAATCCAAATGTATAAAATTTAAATATTTTTTATAGAAATCCAAATGTGTAGTCATATTAGCTGTGGTGGCCACCAGTATTATAAAACTTTTCTTGTGGGTGCCATATTGGATTTTCACAATTTTAAATTTAGGACATTATTAATTTACGATCGTATCATTTGAAACACTAGTTTTTTTTATTCAAAATGCGAAATTATTGATTTTTACAAAGAATGCTTTGAAAACAAAACATCCAAATTTTGATAGTTCACTTAAATTTTCATTGAAAATATCATAGCACTTATAACAAAAAATGCAATTTTCACACGAAGAACAGAAAGATTTAAAACTTGTTTAATTAATTAAAAAATATCTGGCTTTCTTTCACATGAAAATAGCATTACAGTATAATCCCTCTTAACCGGCTTCGCATTAATCGGCCGACGGATTAACCGGCCTGTTTACTTACAAATACACGACGACATTCTTAAGACTATACGCAGGCGCGCACATAGTGGGGCGCACAGAGTGGGGCGCGGTAGTACATAATGTGCATATTTGTTAAAAGTTTTGATCAGTCAACTGTTGTATTCGTGTATCACTGTGTTATTCTCGTTTTCGATGAGTGCAAAGCGTAAACGAGTTGTAGTTTCGATGGACATGCGTCTTAAGGCGCTAAAACGGATTGATAATGGTGAATCCGTGGCAAAAATTTGTTCTGAACTTAATGTTGGAAAAAGCACTGTAAACGACTGGCGAAAAGAAAGGCGTTCCATCGAGGATTTTTGTTCAAAAATGGAATCGGATAAAAATCTGTCAAGCCGTTGTACGAAAAAAAAAACGTTTTGCGAGATTGTAGATGAAGCTTTGTGGATATGGTTTATTCAAGAACGTCGAAGGGGTACACCGATTGGCGGCCCAATTTTGAAAGAAAAAGCTTTGGTTATTCACAAAAAAATTTAAAACAGAGGCGAATTTGTTGCAAGCGATGGTTGGCTTAACAGATGGAAGAAGCGACATGGAATTCATTTCGCACTCGTAAGTGGTGAAAAAATGTCTGCCGATATTTCTGGTTCAACCGATTTCCAAATTAAGTTCCTGGAAATGGTGGAAAGAGAAAAATTAACTCCTGAACAAGTATATAACATGGATGAAACAGGAATAAACTTTAAAATGTTACCAGAAACAACTTTTCTTAGCAGTCACGAAAAGTCGGCTCCTGGTTTTAAGAAAAATAAAGAACGTATTACAGTAGCGGTTTGTTCAAATGCAGCAGGTACTCATAAAATACCTCTTTTCGTCTTTAGTAAATCGGCTAAGCCACGTGCGTCCAAAAACTTGAATCCATCGTCCCTCCCTGTGTACTACAGATCACAAAAATCAGCGTGGATGAGCACAGACTTGTTTAAAGAGTGGTTTAATATAGAATTTTTTCCAAAGCAGTCCTAATTTTGGACAATGCACCAACTCATCCTCAAGACCTGACCTGTCATACAGCTGACATAAAAATAATTTACCTTCCTCCTAACGTGACCAGCTTAATACAACCCATGGACCAAGGGGTGATTGAAAGCTTAAAAAAACCGTACAGACGTAAACTTGTTTCCGAAATTTTGCAATATTCGGAAAGTGAAGACAAGGGCCTTCTGGAAATCATTAAGAAAATCAACATTAAGGATGTGATCTACATGTTAGCTATGGCCTTCCAAGAAATGCCTTCCGCTACATTCGTAAAATCTTGGCGAAAACTTTGGCCAGACATCGAGAAATTTGTTGCGAATGCGAATCCTTCAGGGGGCGAGGAAGTAGAAAACGAATCCATTCTTCAAGATCTTCAAAAGTTATCGGGTAACGACACAATGCAGCCAGAAGATGTAGAGAATTGGATAAAAAACTGTGACGAGAATCTTGAAAATGAATTTTTGAATGACGATGAAATCATAATATTAGCTACCAAAGAACCACAGGAAAATGATACTGAAACTGATGACTATGAAGAGGAGGAAAAAGTTTCTCACGATGAAGCCAGAAATGTCATGGAGGTTGCTTTGAAGTACATTGAGCAGCAACGGGAGTCAATTGCTTTAGACCTCTTGGTAATGAGAAAATGGAGGGATTATGCATTCAATAATTCGCTGAAGGTGAAAAAACAGAAGAAGATTACAGACTTTTTTAAAAAATAACCTCAAAGTTGTTTAGAAAAATGTTAGATTTTATTTTTACATAAATACTATGTACAAACGTATTACTATGTATGAATTTAGATAAATATATGTTAAAAACAAAGCGTTTCTATTCATAAAATCTTGTAAGTTTTTTTTCCACCGGGAAATACATACATATACAAACTATGTAGCTACACGTCGGTTTAACCGGCCAAAATGGCAACCGGCCAGGTGTGCAGTCCCGAGGTGGCCGGTTAAGAGGAATTGTACTGTATATTTATTTTCAAAGCACTCTTCCTAGAAACGGATAATTTGGAATTTTAATAAAAACAAAATAAAAACAAGGCATCCTATTATCTCAAGCAGTACCAAAAATGAAAATCTGTCATATAAAACGAGTTGTTAAGTTTCTCGGAAGGTTTGTCAACTGTTAATTATTTACCCAAAGATTATCTCAAAAATTACTGAATATCTTTAAAACCCATATTTCGAAAACAGAAGGGATTTTGATGAACACCCTATATAGTAAAAAATTGTTGAAAAATAAAGATATGATATTCGAAACTTCCATAAATGTAAGAGTTCGCAGATATAGAACATTTAGACACTAAATTTACACTACGTAAATAAGAAATTAATTTATGACAAAAGAATTTAAGTAAATATAATTCAAAAATAATTGATTTTATATCCCTCACCTGATATACCATTATCTAATCTCAATTTAACTCCAGTCGCTTGACCGGGACAGGATCCTGCATCAAAATGATTCCACACATCGGAAAGTTCTGGGAAATCATTCTTCAAACAGAAAGGACATTGCCAAAGTCCCGTTTCATCATTACGAACGGGATTAGCCTGATCCAGTTGGTCCGGCTTTGGTTTCCTACGAGCAATTCCTGAAACATAAATTTTGAATGTAGATTTTATATTAAATAGTTACAGATTGTTTCATACCAATAACCGACGCTGTAACCATTTTACCAATGTAGAACGTTTCGGGCGTTTCTTTTGTAAGCATATCAAATAATTCTTCAGGATTAGCAGAGTGGTATGGTTGGCGAAGATCCTTATACCTGCAGTTTAATTCAGCCCTAATGTCATACAGTGTGATGCTTTTGTTACCTAAAAATAAAACAAAGAAAACCGTTATACATAGTTGCCTTTTATATTTCAGGAACAGAGAACAAAAAAGAATGACTGTTTTTCAAAATATTAACGACTGCCCAATTTTGCTGCCTGTCATTTTACCGATTTATGTGACCTAAATTCTTATCTTAGCGATATTTCCCACTTTAGTCATGTGATATTCAAGTATAACGGAAATTACCCTTTTTCGAATTATTTTCTTATGTCAGTTGCGTTGACGAATTTTTTTTTAAAAGACTTCAGAAAATTTCAAGATTAGATCAGAATTTGTTGAAATCGTGCCCTAATAATTGATCACCTGGTGTTCCTTGATATTAAAGTAACATAAAGTAAAAATTCCGTTTAAGAAAACTTTTAGAATAAATTTAAATTCCATAAATACCTTTAAAGGAAAATAAAAATACAATATTTACCAAATCCTTGCCGCTCCAATTCTTCAGCAAACGCATCAAGATCTAAGTCTTTTAATCTCTCAGGTGCTTCCAAAATTTCTTCTAATGCGCCTGCCGGATTAGCACCTTCATCATCATCATACTCCAGCGCATCCACAGCCATCTTTCTAGCCCATTCGTAAGTTTCTGGATGTACGCGAGAACCATCCAAAATTTCCACGTAGGCTTCAGTACTAGAGATGAAAATACCAGTTTCATCTCATTTTCATTTAAAATGAAAAACGCAAACTTACCTGTCACCTAAGCTATTAGTGTCAATCTTAATAAAACCAGAGCAATTTATAAATACTTTTGGACCCATATGACAAGCAGTGACAAGCTGTGTCCTATTTTCCAGCCTCTGATTCGTTTGTTTTAAGACTCGGAGCAAAGCTTGGCCCTTTCTAGGGCCTAAACCGCAAATAAATTGGACTAGGTTGCTTTTGTGAGCTTGTTGGACGGCTAAATTTACATCGACACCTACCTCATTCGTTCGATTTACAAACTCCAAGCATAAGGCCTCCAAAAGCTCTTCTTTAGGTATTTGTTCCTGCAAAGATAAATATGAATTTTTCTATTTTTAATGAAAGCCAACGTTCCAATGAAAGTTGTCTCTTATACATATACAGTGTTCCGAATTAAGGAGCCATAAAATCAGGTGCTGATAGATTACCCAAAATAAGATGATTTGTCCTATAGCTTGAGGCCTTTTATCTTCTGTTTTTGAAATACACAGCACCAAAAGTTGTTTTTTAAAATAAAATTTTTTATCTTTCGCAAAACACGATATAGCGTTGAAATTTGGTATGTCACATATTAAAAAAGATGCTCTTGTTAAAATTGCCAGCATGCTATTTTTAAGAAAAATATTTAATTAGGACCTACCATTAACCTGTTATTTAAGGAAATACCGTTGCTCGTTGCGGCGCTAGCGTCAATGATTATAGGATATTTCAAAAATTCTACAGGTGATCAAAAATAACAAACACAATTAATATACATTTTTAAAATATGGGATAACAAAGGGACACATAAGCTTTTTTCTAATAACAGAAACTGTTGCTTTTAAACTAATGATATTGTAGAAAGCAACTACTCCACAAGTTATATGCACCCACTGACATTGAATTACATCTGCAATATCTAATAAATAGGTAATATTATACCAGGAGAATCACCAGAGATAGAGTGGTTGCAACCTTATTACTTTTCCTTACTTGGCCAAACATGAGGTGACTGACAAATGATGTTTATCGACAGACATGTTTTGAGTATGACAAATTTTCTTGATTTTTTTATATGCAGAGTACTAATTTACATAAAAAAAGTGTTTGTAAAATGTGAAACAGTGAATAACTGCTATTGGTCCTTTATTAAACCAAAAAAAAATCATCCATATTACCAAATCTTGATTCAAAAGAATAGTGAATCTTGTAACAAAGCATTTGCGGCCGAAGATGTTCATAAACTTTTTTAATTATGTTGAGGGAATTATCTGTAGAATTTTTTTGGTGGAATATTGCAACACCGTGTATACCTATTGCTTTTTGAAAACAAACACAGTTGCATTGGGCTCCTGGGCAATAAATCTCAGCAGTTGACAAGTCGTTGATAAATTGCCCAGCAGTGCAGTGCAGCAATGCGGAATTTGGCGAGATTCAGGTAATTGTCATTTATTATAGGCACCTTCTATCAATCATTCATATTATAATTGCGAAAAGGAGAAATAAGAGGGATATTTTTTTTTACTAATATAATCACAATGTGGCATTTTTGAGACCTTTTGAACAAAATGAAATTTACCACCAATATAATAAAATTATTTGAGATCATAAATAATTACAATGTGTTGTTGGCCAAATGAACATAAAATAGAAATTTTCTACACATTATATACAAATTATTATAATTTTTTACCTTTAGCAGAAAACTTTTAGGGACGGCTATGAAGCTCATTAAATTTTATTACCAGGCGTTCAACTGACTTCGGAAAGACTATACCAGAGCTTTCATTTATTCATTAATTTATTATTTGTTAAAAATAAAATTACTTTTTACATATGACTTCAAGTTTTATAGGACGTACTTGATAAAATAAACAAACAATATTTACGTAAAAAAATTAGTTGATTTTACCACAATAAATCAATTTCCTTTTGGCTACCTTTAAGCGCCTCCACTGCTGTCTTCAACTGCTAGTTTGTAACAAAATTTTAATTAATTTCGTTATATTTGAATTAAATTCCTATATGTATAACATCCATTTTATCCTTCATTTCACTTAATTCTATAACCTTATTAGTAATACCTAACTCATTGTATTTCAAACACCTCGTATAACACTGCAGAATGCTTATGTATTTCGATGACTATGTATTTTATGATCCGAAGCACCAACTACGCTACAGTATAAATACCTCTGACAAACTAGAAATGCTCTTTTCTTTTCCCTTTCCGCTTTGATTTTCATCCCCATGGTATTCCAGAACATGAGAAGTAAATAAATGCTTTCTCAATAGAAAATGATTAAAGTGTAAGTAACTGTACCTTTTTACTATCTAAATGTTTATAATTGCTTTTATTTAGTTAACACCTTTGGTAAAATTTATGTAGGTTTTGCTAATAGACGTTTTTCTTTGATGTAAAGTGAATACAACCTATTCACATCATGTGTTGAAGTAGGTTTTGTAAAATTAGCATTTCTTTGTGCTAATATCTTTTGAATTTTTGGCTATTTACATAGCATTTTACATTCGCGAAGGGTTTTTTTTTTGGTGTACAGTGTAGAATAGTTTACCTACCTATTTTTTGTTTCGAACTCTAAATCTCCTCTTCATATTGTAGCATGGTCATAAATCATAAATATATAAACATTTTTTAAATACAGTTATTACAACCAGGTGTTCCGATTTTTCCTCAAAGAAGTTACATCTTAAAATGTCACCGGAAAAGATTGTGACTAGTGACCTCTACCAGCTCCCGAAATTATATACCCTTTTTAAAATACCCTGTATTTTATGCAGCTAATAATTAATCTGGTGATAGTATTCAAAGAAAGGAATTAAAAATGTATTATACTCCGCGGTCGAAATTATAGAGAGTGACTCATCGCTAGCTTTTGGACTGGTAAGGAGGATGAAGCATGCGGGGAACGAAAATTCATTGGCGTGTCTGCGTAAAAGGCAACAAGATATAGAAAATAATGAAAATATGGAAAAAAGATTATAAAATATAACATCTAATATTTTTGACGGTTTGCTACAACCGGCACTTTGATCCATTTTAATTATTACGTTTTAAAACGTCCTGGTTGTGTTTTTTAATTTATAAATTTATTCTAGTCACGGAATTTGACCACTAGCCTACGCTTATGCCATGGGTTTCTAAGGACGGGTTTCAGACTATTGATGACATTAAAGCAAATCCAAAAGAAAGTAAATCGGGGAGGAGAATACTTTGAAGGCGATAAGGACCAATAATAATATTTAAAAAAGAAAGTTCGGTTATTTTCTGAACATACCTCATATACGAGTACTAAAAACCTCTATAAAAGGGTTACGTAAAAAAGTTGGTGGTAAAATACATAAAAAATAAATAAATGCCTTTAATTGTATATGGAAGAAAAAGTGTATTAAGGTAAATTGACCTAAATTAGTTTATTTTCATCCTAATAACCTACCAATAGTATGAACATTTGTAGATACCCTGTATGATCCAATAGCACGGCATAAAAATGAATGAATGAATACCTGTGTAGTTTGAAATCTGGTTAGCATCTAGAAATAATCCTAAAATTTTTTAAATTAATAGAAATTTTTACTTATCTTCCAAAGGTATTAAACTAATTCAAATTAAGTCTAACATCCAGGGAAGTAAAATATCTAGGAGTGATACTGGATAATAAGCTTACCTGGAATGCGCACTTGGAAAAAGTGGTGAGTAAGGCGAAGCAGACATTGTGTGTATGCCGCCGCCTTATTGGGAAAACCTGGGGACTGAAACCAAAGATGTCACACTGGTTGTATACGTCGATAGTAAGACCCAGGATTCTTTACGGCGCTGTGGTATGGTGGCAGAAAACACAACAGACNAGGAGCTGAGAGAAGTGTCAGCAAGGAAGCTTTTGGACTTTGTAAAAAGGACAAATCTACTTGCTGAATAGGACTAGTAGTGGGACGCACAATAGGCCAAATAAGGCCGCAGTGCTATGGGACTTTTAAAGGACCAACCACTAGATGAAGAAGAAGAAGGACGGCTAAATCAAGTCCCACCACTACCCAGCCCAGAAACAGGGGATCATAAATACCTTGATTCAAGGAGCGCGGATCATAAGCGAGCCAAGACACTTGGCCGAGGAACTAGAACACCTACGCACGGCCCCGAGAGGGAATGGCTACATGGCGAAAAATATAGAACGAGCTATCAGGAGGAGACATATGCCCATGGAGAAACAGGAGTACTTAGCAACGACGTATCTACCTTACGTGAAAGGTTGTACAAATAAAATTGGGGGTCTTTTGAAGAAGAGGAATATCAACACAGTATTCAGTATTTTAAAGAGGTTGGCGGCAGCGTTTCCAAAGACCTGCAACAACGACCAGCTCCAGGGCCCCGGTGTGTACAGTATTCCTTGCTCTTGCGGAAAGGTCTACATAGAAATTTACAGAAATCCGAATAATTTCAACAGGGATGGTGGCGTGGATCTGCTAGATATATGGAAGAGAGTCATCCGTGAAAGCAACCCACTGGAACGTGTACAACACGTACGAGGTCACCCACCGGAACATCATGGACCAGTGACCACATCAAATATAAATAGTGACAAGATTAGTAAATCTCCAGTTTCAGAGTAACTTCTGAAGAATAGAGCGATATGTCTCTTGAAACATCAAGTGTTGTAAATCGACGATGTGGCAACCAGCCTGGAAATCATTCAACCGACTAAATCAAGTTCGTTTACACCCACCAAAAACCATTTCCCTATTCCCTACCAAGTGTAAAAGACAGAGATAGAATATAGATCGACATTCAGTGTAACTCAATTATAGATTCTATTGATGTGTGTAGAGAGCGGTACATCATTTAATATAAGACAAATAATATTGAACCGTTATAAAATCATTTTATACGCGCTATGGTAATACTGGTAATAGTGTTTTTATATTATGTCTGAGTCACTCTCTATAATTTCGACCGCGAGGTATAGTAATATTAAATCAAATTGCGTTCAACTGATGTCAATATAAATCTTAAATATGTTTAACAAACCTGTAATGGATGGAATCTTAAACTCAATATTTCCTCGTCCCCATTACAGAGCTGAGAGTACTCTATCAAAGGGTCCTGCATTTTTCGTGCCAAAGAAACGGCCTGTCGTAGAAGTTCAGGGTAATCCCTAAAATCGGACTGTCCTTTATTAGAATTAGCGTATACTTTGGCTAATTCGTTATCTATAATTTCCACTTTGATCAACGGAAATTGGTCAGATTCTACCAACTCGGTTATGATTGCTCTAAGATCTTCAGCTATCATTAAAGCTTCTCTGGACTCACCTCCGATTGAGATAACGTGGGGCTTCTTTGTGTATATGAAATTTTTTAATGCTGTTAGATCCGCTTCCTAAAAATGGACATTTTTAAAAAATAAATTTGAAACTTTTAAAGCAAAAATATTTAGTTTTTGAAATATTTAATTGAAGTGATATAGTGATGAGTATTTTTTACTTTTTGTTTGTTTACATTTTTTCAATGTAAGATTTTTTCATATCTTTTAGGCCCAAGGATTTGTTTATTTAAATTTTAAATAAATTCATTTGACCTGTTACAAAATACTCAAACTGGAAAGACTATAGCCATGGGAATATTTACAACTTACTTTCATCAGTTTCTCTTCCATTCTGTAACTATTTTTTCTTTTCAAAAGGTGAGGCAATCTTAAATAATCCGTTATTTCACCATCAGGTGCTGATATGCAGGCAAACGCCGATACTGAGTAATCAGGAACATAACCTAGACCCATAACCCTAATTCCTTTTGTGGTATCCCACTCATCTTCATCTTCATCTGGGAATGTAACCGCATATGGGGAAATCTACAAAAATTGCTTTATACAAACATTTTTAAAATAAACAAATGTCTTACCTTAATCCAATTATACAATTTACGACAGCAGGCTTTTAACACAAACTCTTTGGCTTCCGCTAATAGAGCTCTCTTTAACTCTGAACGTAAATCGGGTAAAACGCTTTTTGTTAACGCCCTTTCCACACATTCCATACGTAGAGCGTTCCAGTCTTGAACATTTTTACTAAATTCATCCTGAAATATAAAAATTAAAATATGTGCAGACAAAAGATAAAATGTATATATTTACTCTAATATAGAGTTGTTTGACTTCATCGATGTAAGAAGAAGTAGTATTTCCCTCAATTGTTTCATTGATAGTAATAGTCAGCAGGTTTTCTTCTTCAGCCATACAGAGTTTAAGAAACTGATCACCAGTGAGGTCTCTAACTGGTTTATCTTTGATATATTTCATACTAAAAAACACCCAAAAGATAATAATATTAAATATGGGTGACAATTTTTCAAGTGACACTGTAGGGATCTTGTTTATTGTTTAAAAGAGGCAAGGTCGGTTAATTAGGGCAATTAGGGCAACGGTACATAATATAATGGTGAACAACACACAGAAAAGAAATTTGGCCCGTCTCATTTTGTTCTGCAGTTATCAATGAAAAAAACTGAAGATTTTAATTTGTTTTTTTATCACAAACCAAAAGGTGAATGTTTTTAACTAAGACGTTATAGGAGCACTCTTTATGAAGAAGTTAAATATATTTGAACATTAAAACATTAACAAGCAATAAGTCACACAATGTACATGTATATGTACCACATATGTACTACAAACTGAATAATTAATTGAACATAATGTAATATTAAACTCATATTCAATTATAGTAGTTAAAAATACTAAATTCCTAAATTGTATAGCCTAACCTTCGAAAACAATTATTATCCTTACACATTTGTTTTTATTAACAAATAAATAATACTTGTTAATATTTAAAATGCAAAAAATATCTTATTCATTCACGTGTCTAGCTAAAAAGCTGTCCTTATTCGATGTAACTCTATATGGACTAAAAAGGCATTAAAAGCTGGGTTAATAATCGCATATTAAGATGGGTCAAGATTCAATCTGAATAAACCTGTGTAGGTCAGAAGTCAGGAGCGGTCCTGAAAAGTGGTTTAAATAATGATTTGAAATATGCATTATAAAATTTTTTTAATTGCATATTCGTATTCTACTCATTATTCCCTATCTTCCCTTAAAATTAATGACATTTTGACTGAATCACCCTGTATAGCAATGTGGCAGCTACATAGATATTTACAAAATCATGCCAAATGAAAATTCTCTCTTTGGCATGTTATCTGTTTCTAAATTTCACTAATTTGTCCTAACTTGATTAACCTTGTACTTATTATACATGAGATTTCCGCAATATGCATATAGACATCAAGTATATAAAATGATTTTTTTTTAATATGGCAAAAAGGAAATGGAGTTCAAATGTGTAAAAAGAAATGCGATGAAATAAAATATATGCAAATGAACCCCCCTAAAGGGATAATTTGCTGAAGGATGACATTTCCACAAGTGTTTTCTATAAAAACAAAAAATTTTAAACATTTAATAATTGAATTATTTAGGAAGTAATGAAAAAACAATGACTTCTTATGTCACCCGGCTATTTTTTAGATTTAGGTCAATTATTGTCACATTTCCATGGCCAACTACAAAATTGTGCTTCAAACTATTACTCCGTAAGATACGAGACAGCCAAAATTCCAAGATACCAATGTCAGAATTCCAAGGTAAGATACTGAGCCAACAATGTTAGGAACATAACATGGGTTTCGGTAGGTTCTTTTATAAATGAATTTTGTTTTGGAAATTAAATGTGTTTTCGTTAGCATCGTGTTCTTCAATTCATTGTCATTATTTATTTTTTGCCCACTAATTTGCGAATAACTTGACAACAAAAAAAGATATTAAACAATTTTTGTTGTCAAAATGTAGCTATTTTTATGCTCTTCAACCTAATCTATAAAAAGTTTTATCCTGCTATTTCACTTTTTTAAGAAAACGTGAAACAACTTAAACTTGGATAAATAGTGGCAATAAATAACTAAATAGGCTGTACCATTTGAACAACACTTTTGTTAGAAATTTCAAACTTATGATATATTCATCAATTTTTTTGTGCTGAATTCATTTATGTAAACAAAACTACAGTATTGCATTTAAAATTTTTGCGAAATATCCTTAAAACAGCATTCGTTCATAAAAAGACCTTTCCAACGAGGTATAACACTATAGGCTTTTGATGAGCCAATACTTAAAAATGCATTTTTCTGATCAGACATTAAGGGCTTCCCCCACCTTTTCTGTCGAGAGATAGAAGAAAATGTCAATAACAAAAGTTATGCGCAATGAATTCGGCTATCCATGTTTGTACTATTTAATATACCTGAATAGGAAACATTTCTGAGAAAAAATCAATTCTGGTTTGGTATGTATGTAGACTGTGAACCCCTAGTGACCGAGCTACGAACTTGAAAACTATTTCCAGCAATTTTTCTTGGTCAATTTATTGTATAAAATATTTTTCCCGAAGCTCTAGGGCATATACTTTCCCTAATATCATACCTCGCCAACCTTAGTGGGACACCCTGTACAATGTCCGGGCAATTTTTCGGTTATGGACACTCAATGAAAAAATTTTACATACTATTTAAAAAACTTATTCAAAGCAACATGTAATGTAATAGTGTCAAGCGCTGAAAATATAATACCTCATTCATGAAGTTTTGGGATAGTTCACGGTTTGATACATGTACACACACACACTTGCCCTTCCTACTGAGCATCATATCGAGGGAGTCATATCAGAAGGGCGTATGAACCAAATCTGAAATTTTACAGGCATACGCCTTTCTGATATTATAGTTTTGCAAAATTGGTTCATATGCCTAAATAAAATGCGTTAGAATAGAGTGTTGATATTTATGAATATATATACGCCCTTCTGATATATTAAGCTATTAAGCGAATTGATTAAATGAGGTCATACGCCCTAAAAACCTAAAACCGACTATAGTGGCTCTTACGCCCTTATGATATGACGCCCTCGTATGAAATTATTGTCACACTATTCTTGGGCAGTAAAAGTTGTCATAGCATAGTAACAATATTGCATTATAATTTTATCTAATATGTTCATATGTTTTAAACAGGTTATTGTACTAAACTATCTACAAAACAAATGTGACTGTTAAAGATACACTCTCAAAGATTACACTAAAAATGAACTCAGACTGCCCTGACATGGTAGTGGTCGTTTACTGGATAGATTAACCCTCCTTTAAAATATTATCAGGTTCTTTATACCCAAATATTTATATATTTTTTAATTTTTTTGTAATGTGACATGAGTAAAAAAAAATTATGGAATGTTCCTNCAAAAAATTTTAAACATTTAATAATTGAATTATTTAGGAAGTAATGAAAAAACAATGACTTCTTATGTCACCCGGCTATTTTTTAGATTTAGGTCAACTATTGTGACATTTCCATGGCCAACTACAAAATTGTGCTTCAAACTATTACTCCGGAAAATACAAGACAGCCAAAATTCCAAGATACCAATGTCGGTATTCCAAGGTAAGATACTGAGCCAACAGTGTTAGGAATATAACGTTATATATGTGGCTTTAGGTAGGTTCTTTTATAAATAAATTTCCTAAATGATGAGGCAATTGGGACCCCCCTGGCTACAGGACTAATAGCGTCAAGCGCTGATAATATAATACCTCAATCATGAAGTTTTGGGATAGTTCACGGTTTGATACATGTACACACACACTTACCTTTCCTACCGAGCATCACATGAAATTATTACGTCACACTATTCTTGGGCAGTAAAAGTTGCCATAGTAACAATATTGCATCATAATTTTATATAACACGTTCATATGTATTAAACAGGTTATTCTACTAAACTATCTACGAAACAAATGTGACTGTTAAAGTTATACATATCCCAAAGATTAAACCAAAAATGAACTCAGACTGCCCTGACATGGTAGTGGTCTTTTATTGGATAGATTAACCCTCCTTTAAAATATTATCAGGTTCTTTATACCCAAATATTTATATATTTTTTTGTAATGCGATATGAGTCAGTTTACTGAAATAACTGTTCAATGAAATGAAAATTATTTAGACAATTACAGAATTATACATTTATCGAGACACTTAACTGAAACTTACCTAAAACAGTTATGAGCCTCATCTATGACTTTCTGCCCTTTCTTTGTGGGGTAAACACACAACTTTGCCCTTTCAAAGAACACTTCCCTTACACATTTCCTTACAAGCGGCTCCCTTGCTATTTGTAAAGCGACCATGTATTTGGAAGCTTGCAGGACCTCATCCACTGTTTGAAATTTACTAAAAACAAAACTATTTAGAGCACTTAACGACTAGATGGTATAACGTACGGTGAAATGAATTCTTTCGCTGTCTCGGCAGGATCAGAAGGCTCCTGTTCAACTTCGTGCCTTTGGTAGTTATCACGTAAGTTCTCAGCAAAATTCTCGGGTGTCAGACCGAACTTCTTCGCTAGGGGGTCTGGAAGGAAAAGGAATGAAGATTTAGATGATTTGTTTGTATATTTCTAAACACCATGACCAAAATACACAAATTAGTTATTACACCCAACATTAATGATTGTATTATTAGAGTGCTTTATCTGATTTTGATCGCAATTACATTCTGTCAAATTTTGTCGGAATTTATAGATAAAACACGATATATTCAATTAATCATCAAAGTTTATTTTGTCTCCCTTAAAGTAGGCTCCATTTGAAGCTTTGACACTTTTTCCAATGAACAACTCGATCGTCAAACCACTTTTTAAATGCATATTCCGGTATGGACTTCAATTCCTTCAGCAATTTTTGTTTTACGGCTTCTATCGACTCAAAAAGTGTTTCATGAAGTTATAATTTGAGTTTGGGGAAGAAGAAAAAGTCAGCAGAGGACATATCGGGTGAATACAGTAGCTGCTCGATACCATTCGTCGAGTTTTTGGTCAAAAACTCATTCACAATTATCGCTTTGTGTGATGGTGCATTATCATGGTGTAAAGTCCAAAAATTGTCATTCCATAAATCTGGTCTTTTGTGGTGGACATTCTCTCTCAAACACCTCATAACGCCCAGAGAATATTCTTTGTTGACTGTTTCTCCATCAGGAAAGAATTTTGTGTGAACAGTTAACATGACTTTAATTGTTGATCGATTTTGACCTGTTTTTTTGGGTTCGGCTCATTAGAAATGCGCCATTCCGAAGCTTGCTGGCCCACTTGCATGTGAAAGTCGTATCGTCATCCGTTATGATGCATTATGATGCATGAATGTAGTGGTCGAATCAGCTTGTTCAAGCATGTCTTCAGCAACATGTTTGCGATGTTCTTTTTGAAAAAAATTCAACTCTTTTGGAACCAGTCGATCTGTGACGCGTTTCATACCCAAAACATCAACTAAAATGGTGCAAACTGATTCGTGAGATATATTTAGTTCATTTTCCAGTTCTCTCAAACTATAATGACAGTTTGCAAGAGCGATATCCTTCACTTTATCGATGTTTTCTTCAGTTGAAGACGTCGAAGGATGACTAGAATGTGGCAAATCACTAACCACTTCTCACCCCTGTTTGGATGCTTTGTACCATTCGTATGCTTGAGTTTTCGATAAAACTAAATTACTGTAAGTCTTTCCCAACATTTTGAATGATTCAGCACAAATTCCATTGGTAGCACAAAATTTTAGGCAAACTCTTTGTTTAATAACATTATCCATATAAAAAATAGGTGAAACACTTTAGCCAACAAACTACTTGACAGATCGTGCTCAAACTTTGCGTCAGAGGAAAGTAGTGTTACCAATTTTCCATCAAAAAAGAAATTTAAGGGGACATATACAATTAGACGAAGGAAAATGAGTCAATTTTGAGGAATTTTTTAAACTAAGAAATATTCATTCTACATTCATCGGATTGTAGATAGTCTTTAATAAGATACTCAATTATAAAAAAATATATTTATTAATTGATTCATTGTCAAAATGGTGGAGCTGTGGTAGTCACAGCACGGTTGCGGCGTGACTTCCAAAACGGTGTACACCCTAGCTCCCCGTGAAATTCGATCTGTATCAAAATACAAAAATTTTCTTATTTTAAAACGTGTAGTTTCTATGCGACGTTGAGAAAAATGGAAAAAAAAATTTGAAAAAGCGGTACACATTTAAAAACAAAAATCGAATTTTCATGCAAAAATTATATAAAAAAAATTGTTTTTTTCAAAATTTTCCAAAATCAATTTCCATTATATAGGAGGTAACAATGTTATCAACTTTTCTACCTAGAGGGAATTCAATCGATTTAATAGTTTTTGCGATATCATGTACACCAGTTTCAGAAATGTAGTTTCGAGAAAAACAGTAAATAACCCTTCTTATTCTATCCTTTGCAGATGGAGTCGTTCGACAAAAGAGCGTCACTGTGGAGGAAGGGGCAGCTATACACTGTAAAAAACTTGAGCAGCTATTTCCCGAAACTCATTCGAAAACAGTTATTCTCCTACAAACATCTGGTTGACGAGTATACCTGTGCGCTCTTGCTTCTACCTGGGGCATGCACTCCGGACCTGAGCTGACATGCACAACATTTTGGAATTTCACTTTCAAACTTTCAGAATGTATTCTTCACATACAGTTCTATCATTTAAGAATATAAAAAAAATCGATTTTCTGATTGTTGTAATTGTATATGTTCCCTTAAATCTACTTTACATGGAAGTTTTAAATTATAAATTCTGGATACTGTTTTGACAGAATGAATATTAATTTGTATACAGCAAAAATAATTAGACTCACCTATGCCTGCTCTAGCACATAGGGCGTAACTTCCTGATCTATTAGCATACTTCAGCGTCTCTGGCTCAGGTTCATCATCGTCAATCTCTTCTACTTCATCTGGGATATCAGCTCCCTCTTCACTTTCTGCTATTAACTTCAGCCTATAATTTAAAAGAAACACTAAACATGTTACTCTTCCTCATTAGCGTTTAATATTTTACATTAATGGAAAAAAAACACAGAAAGTATAAGGGGTGGATCTTGATCACATGGTCATCACAAAAGTGCTCTATGTAGGCTTAAGGTCATTCCCTGAATGGCTGTAGAAGTTCCATGTTTCATTAACGAAATATGACCACTTTAATTTTCACCAGCTGTTACACTTTTTTTTTTGAAGATGTGATTATTTCGCCCATGTAATTCCCCATAATGTTCATCACACTTATCGTTTTAGAATTAGATAGATTTTGATTGAATTTATTTTAACCAATACAGAACTTTATTATTAAAATATTAATATTAAATAATACACCGGTGACTGATATATGAGGTGTATTCCAAAAATGTCAGACTCCACATCAAACCGTTTGAGCGACCTCTGTGGAATATATTTTTTGTTTTAATTAATTAGTTAATGTATAATATTATAGTAGCAAAATAAAATTAAGAAACTATTTAGGTATATATTTTTATTCCAAATATCAAAAACAAGAACGAAAAAATAAATATAAATTCTGAAACTAATAAAAATTATTTGCGTAAATATTAAGTACTACGAAAACTAACCAATTTATGCCAAACCAACATAAATTTCATAAATATTAAAACAAATACAAACACACAGCACCTGCTCGAATTGANCTAAGAAATATTCATTCTACATTCATCGGATTGTAGGTAGTGTTGTTAAATTTCCGAAATTTATAAATTAAAGGAAACTTTCCGAAACGTTTCCGAAATTTTCGGAAAAAAATGGAAATTATCGGAAACTTTAAAAATGCAATAAACTTCATGGCCTTTGAAAATTTCCGAAATATATCCGAAACTTTCGGAAATTTTCGCTGTTTGGCGCTTTTTTTCAAACCGTAATAAGTCCCTAAATGTTATTCTCTAAAAAGATTTGTACTATTGGTAGTTCTATTGGTCAACCTAACACCTAACCTTGAAATATTTTTTAAAAACGTTTTCAAACGGTTATTCTGTGCTTGGTGTTAAACTTAATCTGTTGACATGAGAAATAAAACTCATATATGGAGGTATTTTACCTTAGAAAAGAACCAAGTAACTTGTAAGTTTTGTGAAGCAAAATATTATAAGAATGCCACTAGAATGTATCAACATTTACTGAACTGCAAAAAATGTCCTTGCAATGTCAAAAGTTTTATTGAAACGAGTGTAAAAAAAATGATACAGATATGACAGACATGAGTGATATGACACCTTCAATGTCTAGTTCTCCTTGCAGCAGCAGCAGCAGGGCAGAACCAAAAATGATTGACAAAAGTTACAAAACAACTAGTTCAAATATCATGTGTTCGTTTATTTATCAAATTAGCAAAAAAGAACAGGTATGTATCTATTTAATGATAATATTTGAAGAATTGACTCTTAACTGTCCTTGTTATCAGACATTGATTTCAGGATTTTAGAGTAGAGCGATCCTTCAGCTTACAGAGTATTATTCACACGAAAAAGAGGAATCGTTTAACCACTGAAAGGACTATTAAATTACGTCAGGCAAAATAGCAAATTATTGAAATCTGATAAAAAATTCGATTACACAGCTACAGCTAGGGAAAATGAAATGGATATACTTGGCTTAGAAGTGGTGTCAGACGAAGAAACAAATAAAGAAAATACAATAGTGAGTGAAATGAGCGCAGATTCAGACTTTGAAGAAAACTTTTGGCACTCTAATTTTACCAGCAAGTCCAGGAATGGATCTAGTAGTCCTGAAATTTTTGAAAGAGACAGTGATGACGAAAACCTTAAAACTACCAGTTATGTAGAACAGTCACAATTAGTGTAACTTGATGAAAATATTTTAGATTTACAAAAGAGTGAAGAAACGGATTTTGCGTTGGCAGATATTGCAGATGTTGGAAAAGATTATATTATACATAGGGCAGGGGCAGGGGAAATGGAAGAGAAAATAAACAAAAAAATAATAATTTTAAATGAAGTTACAAACTACCCTCAAACCAAAATATGTGTTCAAGAGCGAGAAAGTAATGTGAATTTAGAGGGGAAGCCTTTAATTACAGCAGATCTTCAACGATTAAATCAGTTAAAGTTTATTAATGGCAAATGGATAATGCAATCCATTTCATCCACTCCAATAAAAAAACAATAATGCAGTGTTTTCATATTCTTAAAATACACTCGAAAATACACTGATGTACAGGAGTACAGAGTGATTTATGTAATATGAAATATTATATAAATTGTTTCTGAACAACCCTTACATACATATTTGGAATCCAAATACTATTGCCTTAACAGATTCTGGTAAAAATAATACATAATACCACTTATCACTTTTACCAGTTTAATATTTTCATTTATTTCAATCTTGAGGCTAGGAGATCTAATAGGCACCTTACATGGATCACCCTATACCAATGAGAATTATCATTTTAGTTGTAGTTATAAAACAAAAGTTCCTTTTATTTGCTGTGTTACAGTAGAATAGGTAATATTTATTTTTATTTAAGGAAAACATGATATAAATTATTAAATATACTGCGCTTTATAAATGTTAGCTATGTGGTGTATGTATAGGGTATAGGTACATATATGATATAATAAAATTATTGTTCAATAAGTATTAATGTTGTGTATTATTTAATATAATTATTATTTATATTTGTCTAATGTGCTCGTAAATACAAGTCTATAAAATGAAGTTCTCAGAAAAACTTTCAGGTATGGTGTATGGTAATAAAGTATCTGAAAATGTGCAATTCATAAAGGGAAATGCATATGAAGTTTTGAAGTATTCATGGAAATTTATGAAATTTTTGGAAATTTATGAAATTTTTGGCAGTTTATGAAATTTTTGGAAATTTAAGAAATTTATGAAGATTTCAGAAATGTTTCAATGTTTCCTATTGGGAACTTTGCCAATGAAACGTTTCAAAATTTCCGTTTCGAAACGTTTCATTTGCATGAAACGTTTCCGTGGCCACAACACTAATTGTAGGTGGTCTTTAATAAGATACTCAATTATAAAAAAAATATATTTTTTAATTGATTCATTGTCAAAATGGTGGAGCTGTGGTAGTCACGGCACGGTTGCGGCGTGACTTCCAAAACGGTGTACACCCTAGCTCCCCGTGAAATTCGATCTGTATCAAAATACAAAAATTTTCTTATTTTAAAACGTGTAGTTTCTATGTGACGTTGAGAAAAATGGAAAAAAAAATTTGAAAAAGCGGTACACATTTAAAAACAAAAATCGAATTTTCATGCAAAAATTATATAAAAAAAATTGTTTTTTTCAAAATTTTCCAAAATCAATTTCCATTATATAGGAGGTAACAATGTTATCAACTTTTCTACCTAGAGGGAATTCAATCGATTTAATAGTTTTTGCGATATCATGTACACCAGTTTCAGAAATGTAGTTTCGAGAAAAACAGTAAATAACCCTTCTTATTCTATCCTTTGCAGATGGAGTCGTTCGACAAAAGAGCGTCACTGTGGAGGAAGGGGCAGCTATACACTGTAAAAAACTTGAGCAGCTATTTCCCGAAACTCATTCGAAAACAGTTATTCTCCTACAAACATCTGGTTGACGAGTATACCTGTGCGCTCTTGCTTCTACCTGGGGCATGCACTCCGGACTTGAGCGGACATGCACAACGTTTTGGAATTTCACTTTCAAACTTTCCGAATGTATTCTTCACATACAGTTCTATCATTTAAGAATATAAAAAAAATCGATTTTCTGATTGTTGTAATTGTATATGTTCCCTTAAATCTACTTTACATGGAAGTTTTAAATTATAAATTCTGGATACTGTTTTGACAGAATGAATATTAATTTGTATACAGCAAAAATAATTAGACTCACCTATGCCTGCTCTAGCACATAGGGCGTAACTTCCTGATCTATTAGCATACTTCAGCGTCTCTGGCTCAGGTTCATCATCGTCAATCTCTTCTACTTCATCTGGGATATCAGCTCCCTCTTCACTTTCTGCTATTAACTTCAGCCTATAATTTAAAAGAAACACTAAACATGTTACTCTTCCTCATTAGCGTTTAATATTTTACATTAATGGAAAAAAAACACAGAAAGTATAAGGGGTGGATCTTGATCACATGGTCATCACAAAAGTGCTCTATGTAGGCTTAAGGTCATTCCCTGAATGGCTGTAGAAGTTCCATGTTTCATTAACGAAATATGACCACTTTAATTTTCACCAGCTGTTACACTTTTTTTTTTGAAGATGTGATTATTTCGCCCATGTAATTCCCCATAATGTTCATCACACTTATCGTTTTAGAATTAGATAGATTAAGGACTTTGGTTGGTGGCCTTTTGATTGAATTTATTTTAACCAATACAGAACTTTATTATTAAAATATTAATATTAAATAATACACCAGTGACTGATATATGAGGTGTATTCCAAAAATGTCAGACTCCACATCAAACCGTTTGAGCGACCTCTGTGGAATATATTTTTTGTTTTAATTAATTAGTTAATGTATAATATTATAGTAGCAAAATAAAATTAAGAAACTATTTAGGTATATATTTTTATTCCAAATATCAAAAACAAGAACGAAAAAATAAATATAAATTCTGAAACTAATAAAAATTATTTGCGTAAATATTAAGTACTACGAAAACTAACCAATTTATGCCAAACCAACATAAATTTCATAAATATTAAAACAAATACAAACACACAGCACCTGCTCGAATTGACTAACACCTGGAGAAATAATGAAACAAAAATATTCATTCAATTTTACTTTCAGGGAATCACATAAATAAACACGTTCGTCGACGATTAGCATACGGTTTTGCTGCCATCTGTTAACAGTTTTAGCAACTTTAAACCAGTAGGAATCATTATTTAAATTTTTATAAATATCATGATATAACGAGCGTTCAAATAAAAACGTGGTCAAGTTGGTTCTGAAAATTTGGACGTAGGGCATAGCGTATAGCAAATGAACTTAAACGTCATCTGTCAAAGCGCTATATTGCCGCTATCAATTTGAATATTTTCGTTTTAAAAAGCGTTTAAAATGGTGTTTTCTCAAGAACAAAAAGTGTTTATCATAGAGTCCTACTTTAGAAATGGACGCAAGATTGATGGAATATGGAAGTATTCTATTGAGGAATGTTTCATAGAATTTCAAAATCAATTTCCCGGCGTTGTTGAGTACAAAATTTTTCAAAGTGCAGTTCAGCGTTGTGTTAATGTTTTTCGTGAAACGGGCAGTGTAACAAGAAAAGAAGGAAGCGGCCGACCTAAAAAGCGGACTGAAGAATTAAAAGAAAATGTCCAACAAATAATGGAAAATGCGCCAAGAACTTCTGTACGTGTTTTATCA